GGGAAGGGGGCGGGGGGACGGACGCGGAAAGCGCGGAAACGGACGGGAAAGACGCGTAATGGCGTTCCGTCGAAAGACGGCGGGTGCTCGCGTATATCGAGCAAGGAGGAACGTACAGGTACGTACATGTGCGCGTACGTCTATGTACATATGTACCCTCGCTCGTGTGTGTATGTGTGTGTGTATATACAATATATCGGGCGTACGGAGGCGAGGAACCGCGCGAAATAATAAGGCGTGCTGGAGGGCCGCGTAAGGGCATGCCGATGGAAACCGCACGCGGCATTATTCAAATTGAATCCGGTAAGAATTATTATTGGCCGGCCGCGCGATGGACTCGCTCCCTCCCTCCCCGCCCCCCCGTCCCTCTCTTTCCGGAGGAGAAAGGGAGTGCGGAAGATAAGGACGGAGGGAAGAGGAGAGGACGCGGAGCCCGCGGAGGGAGGCGGAATCGCGAGCTCGGGTTCGCGTTTTGCCTCGCGCGATCCGCGGTTCGCGATGTAAGGTGGAGGATAAGGCCCCGGGAGGGAGGGGGTAGGGGTAGGGGTAGGGGCCCGTGATTCGCGATATCGCTCGATGACCCTGCCATCATTACGGGACGCTCGGTCTCGCTCGTTTGGCACCGACTATACCCCACGTGGGAAGGCGCTCCTTTCCCCCCTCCACCTGGGGAGCCGGGGCCCGATAAGGGACCCTAGGGCCCCCGCCCTCGCGAGGTCCCGAGTCCCGCCTTCCCGGAGGCGCGAAACCGAAGCGGGGTAGGTTCCCGCCGGGGGCCCTTCGGCGTTTGTCCCGACATTAGGGCCCCGCGGGCTCGGGGCCTGATGACTCGTGAGCGGGCCCCCGGGAGAAGAGGGATCGAGGGGGGACGGGACGAGGCCCAAGGGGCCGCGGGGCCTCACTGGGAGAGCAAAAACGGGGCATTAGCGGTGCGCGCCGGGGCTACCGTGGGCCTTGTCCTGCCTCGCCGCGACCGCCCGCTGGCTGTCCATTTCTGCTCCGCCAAATTAGCATTATTACCCGCTCGGCCTTAAAAATTCCAATCAATGTGTATCCATCTGTGATCCGAGGAGAGGGCCCCAGGAATGGGCCCTGGACAAGCCACCTCGTGTTAACGCTAACGATCCACGGGCGTGTCGACTCGCGAGCGACTTAAGCGGGAGTGCGATGACCACCGCCTGGAGGCGACGTGGCTCCCCTCTGACCGGGCCCCGTAGAGGGCCCAGAATTTCGGCCTTATCCCGAAACTAAGTCGCCACATCCACGGGACGTCTCTTTCCCCTTCCCGGTTTCCCGTTCTCGCGGATTTCCGAGATCACCTCAGAGGGGCCCCGAGACAAAGTCGGAAACGAGCGGGGCCCTACTCGTGGGGGGGGGGGATGGGCATAATAATCGCTCCCGAAGCGAAACGCAAAAACCCGGGGAACGCGATAACGGCAGCTTAAAATTCACTCGGTTCGGCCTTCGAAGGAGCCCGTAACTCGGAGTGGGTCTCTCTCTTTTCCTTGGGTGAGGCCCACTCCTGGAGAGTGGGCCCCTCCACCCCCCCGCGCCCCTCTCTCATCTCTCTCTCTCATAATCGCGGGCATGCGCAGCCCCTCATTACGGGACTGGCCATTGTAAATTCGCGGGAGGAGTGGAGGCGCAACGGCAGGCTCTCTCTTCAGCCAGAAGGACGTAAAAAGGCGAGCCGGAACGAAGCATTTTCACGGTCGGTGTGGGGGGAGGGAGGGGAGGAGGAGGAGGAAAAAAGAAGGATGAAACGGTCGTTCCATCGACCAGATTTCGGCCGATGGACCCGCGAAGAGGCTGGCGATCGTCCCGGAGGAAAATCTAAAGATGCGAGATAAAAAGATCCCCCCCCACACACACACACCCCTTGCGATTAGGGCTCTCCTATCTGCGAAGGAACAAATGTCCACTGATAAAACGTGCGGAATTCCTCTTTGTCCTCGACATCGAGGACGAATTAAGAGAGTTAGGCTGGACGCGGTGCGATAAGTCGGAGCGATTTATCTGGGCAGGTTAATCGAGTCCCAGATTGGGAACGCGTTGTTTGGGTGATTGTTTAGTTAGCGGTGATCGATTTTTGTAGACTTATCGATATGATTGGTACTCGAGTGGTACTTGAAGTCGTGATGGTGGGATTTTGAGGGTATCGCGAAAGGATGGATCTTGACGGCCGGGTTTTGGGGGCACCGGGTCCTGGAAAAGGAATTGGGCCTTCGAGGAGGATTCCTTACCCTGGACCCCCTTTAGACCCCCAAGGAGATCCGCGTCCAGGGAATCGATTTGCCTCGCAATCGCGAGGTGAACTCTTCATTCCGAAGTCGCGCGAAACCGCTTATTATAACCGCGGGGGGAGGTATTGTAAATTTGCAAAGAGGCGAGAGGGGCTGAGGGACGTGGAGGATCGAGGCAGAGAGAGACCCAGGGAGGTATTACGAGTGCGGCACCTTTTCTCTCTCTCTCTGTCTCACTCCCTCTTCATCCTTTTTCCAGGGGAAAAAAAAGAGAGGGAGCTGGACGCTGATTACAGGGGGCATTGAGAGAGGTCCACGGTTTGATCCCTGCTGTTTGGCTTGGCATTGGTCGCCTCCTTTCTCGCGGCCTCTCCTCCTCTCTCCCTCTTTATCCTCCCTGTCCCCCTCTCTCTCTCTTTCTCTCTCTCTTTCTCTCTCTCTTAATAATAATTACCTCCACACGCACGTCCACCGACCGGGAGATGCGTGCGGCGTCCAGGAGGCAGGTTCGCGCCAGGAGTGATGTATGCCGCGAGGTGGGACGCGTAACACGGGGAGTCCCCTCGTCGCTCGTGTGTCTTATACAGTTTTATAGTCTTATACAATCTTATACGTCTTGTAGGTACCTCTTGCAAGTCTCGACGGCCTGGGGAAGATGGACCCCATGAACGAGATCTGGAGTTCTGGCTAACTGAGGTTGATGGCGAGGACCGAGAGGTTCTGATGGACCATGCTGGGTTGGTGCGGGATAAGAATCTTTTGACATCCTATTGATAAGAAGTCTTGTAGTCTTATACAGTCTTATATGTCTTGTAGGTACCTCTTGCAAGTCTCGACGGCCTGGGGAAGATGGACCCCATGAACGAGATCTGGAGTTCTGGCTAACTGAGGTTGATGGCGAGGACCAAGAGGTTCTGATGGACCATGCTGGGTTGGTGCAGGTCAAGATTCTTTCGGCATCCCATTGATAAGGAGACTTGCATGATGAAAAATTCTACGTATAAGTGAGTTGAAGGAAATTTCATGGCATGAATTTTTCATTCGCGGATACAGTGATAATCGGACGTGGAATCAGTAAGAGAAGAGCTCCAACGTCCCCGAAGAATGAGGAAGAGAGACGAGGTCGGTGGTGAAAAATTCGCGAATTAAAAAAAAAAAATCTCATTTCTCCCGGTAACGAGGGGTGGCGCGGAATTAACGTCAGGGGCGAGATGATTTATGTGCCGCGGGGGCGGCCGCTGGGAGGGCGGCTTATCATAAATTAATGAATTATCGGCGCCGCAAGATGCGCGCCGCTCTCTTCCTCTCCTTCCTGCCGATATAACCTTGATAAGGAGGGTCGTATCCCGTGGCATACGGTAACGGGAGAAATTAACGCGGAATCGGAGAAACCGTATCTCGGCCGCGCGAGGTGGATCCAAGATGGCGGCCCTCCGCGTTAATGTAATCGGCCGAGTTGACGCGCGATTCGCGCCGGACCGTTCCTTAATATATCTTCGGAATCGCCGACTCTCGCCTCCGTGCGAGGTCGGGGGCCGTTCCTGCCTCCTTCCGAGGCTGTCTTCGAGCTTAAAAGGGCCCCGTCCTCGGCACGGGATAACGACTCGAATCGAGGCCGCCCCGTAAATTAGCCGGCGAGGTGGGACCGCGCGAAACGTTATCAAGGGCGCCGCCAAGGGGACGACGCAGGCTCCCTTTTTCGTTTTCTCCTTTTCTAATTATTCCCGGCACTCTCTCACACGTATCCATAGTTTTTCGGAGAAGCTTGCCATTTTTTCCGAGACCCAACCGAAGAGCTAAAAGAGAAAAACCCGGCAGTCTCGGACAAGTTCATGGTCCCCGACGTCTCCTTACTCCGAGGACCTATACAAGAAATCCTCGCAAAACAATGACCATAAACTATAAATGGTAATATAAATTATCCTGCTACCAGGGTTACATTTACTGTTAGGTGCACTGAGAGGAATTAGATAGCTGACTCAGAGATATGTGCATTGCGACAACGAAATTCGATTAAGTCAACGTCCATTTTTCTTCCAAATTAATTTCTTGCTATTATATATGATTCCGGTGGTGGTGTTTATTTGTTTGTCGTCTGCTCTTTTTTCCAAGTGTCAAGGGTTTGAGTAAGGATATTTAGAGCCGTGATTTTTTTATTGGCATTATTCAACAGAGTTTATTTAATTTCTCATCTCTCGGTGGAGAAGGTCGCGTCGGGGAAGAAGCTAGCCCGAAGTTGGCTCCTGAAACGGAAGGCTCTAGCTGGCAGCCGTCATTCCTGGCCAATTTCACGCGGCCCGAGCCGTTAATTACCATTACCGGCGACGGGGTCTGTCCTCCTGGAACGGTCACCGATCTTTAAGCTCTTTTTGTCGGCGAGCCAATGCGAACCGCCCGCTGGGAGAGCGATCCTCGCCGCTCCGGATTTAACGCGCACTTCGCATACTTCTCTTCCCTCAATATGACTCTTCCAGCCCTTTCGATTGTTCCCTCTCTGCTGGGTTTCCCGTTAATACCGGGGCTTTTTTTATACCGTTTATTTCTGGCAGGTCCCGAATTAGAAGATTATAGAGAGCCCTATTGATTTTATCGAGTTTAAACGTCGTAAGATGTGAAGTATCCGGTTGGTTGGCGTCTCGACTGTTACCTACGGTGCGGGTGGCTTGGAGGTTCCCAGCGCCGCCGCTATGTAGGACCGGCGCTGCAGAAGCTGCGCGCGAGTCGCGCGCCAACATGGCGGCCACCTGTCGCGGGAGACGCGGAGAGAGGGATGACCAGTGTTTACGTGGATTGTTCGATAACCTCAACGTCTCGTGCGACATGATTCACGGAGAAAGGCGTGTTCGATGGCCTGGAACGGGCTTCTTGTGACTTGCAGTGGTTTTCGCGCTTCTGGCCGACATGGAGGGCTCGCAAAGGACTCCCACGTGCACCTGCCCGAGGGCGCAGAAGGGCACTCGCTGGCCGAACATAACCTCCTCGGGAGAGCCACCCTGCATCACCAGGAGCTACAGACCACACGGCAGCCTCGCCAGGATCCTCTTCGAGAAGCAGAGGGCCGACGACAGGCTCGCTGCTTACGACAAAACCCAGGTATTATTCCATATCTAAGATAACCTAGAAATACAGCCACCTCCTGCGAATGAGGTTATCTATAAACTCTACCGTCCCCTGGACTCAGTTCACACTCAGAACATATCCTAAATGGGTTAATTCATTTAAAACCCTCGTAGGGAACTGATACGATCCGGACTAAATCTTGGAATTCCATCTCGGAAGAGGTACGCACCTCTCGTAGGGTTATGAGTTTATGGATTCTGGTACACTGCCACTTTAGAGTGTGTAATACGCGATTAATGTCACTCAATGCTGCTCTGTGTAGGGATATCGAGGTTAGACTTCAAGGAATGTGCTCTACTTATACGCTGAAACTGTTTGAAGTTCGCTGGATATGATCGTTTGGAATGAAGCCTTGCGACGGAAGAGTTCCTCCGGGGAGAATTTGGAGAGAGCGTAGAGACCAAGGTTGTACGGATTCGTAGAGGTCCTAGTTACGTTATCGGGGAGAAGTCAGAGTCGGACACTTCGCCTGTAAGAACTAGGCTAATAAACGACTCGGTGAGAGCCTGGGTGCAAACAGGTTCCAAAAGTCGGGCCTGGGAGAGGCTCTCCATTCGTGCAAACCTCGGGGAACAGAGGGAGGTAGTCCGGTAATAATTAGTACGATTACCGTGCAAGGCCAACCACTGGCCATCTTGTCCGCCGTTGAGGCAACTCCACGGTCAAGCCCGTACTCGGTAATTACGGGTAATTACGTCCTCGATATTCCTGAAACATCTCGCTGCTCCGGGCACATCGGCTTCGGGGCTCCGGTCGTTCGGTATGCACCTCCGCCTCGGTTATAATTGCTCTCGCGCAGAAACCTGGAGAGAGAGAAGGGCACTCTCCTTCTCGAAAACCTCGCCATTAAACGAATTGCCATTGCGAGAGCCTCGGGTTCGCGTTTTCGGCTCGGCTTTTCTCCTCACGAATTATCTCCCTTCCGTTCCTCGATACGAAATTACAAATTCTACCTCCACTTACTTATCGCTAAGATTTTTCTATTCCTCATTTATTTTTATCGAACCATCTAGATATATTTTTCATGCTACTCTGTTATCGGCTGAGGCTCTATCTCTAAGCCTTGGAGTTTTCTCAACATTTTTCTCGAGACAGGGATTTTCTACAGAGCAGCAGAAGTAGCAATGAGGCTTTTCGAGCAGAGGGAAATTTTCTATCGGGCAGTAGAGGTACAATTTCAAAGTACAATTTCTCCATTTTACAAAGTTAGGAAAAATGTCCGGAAATTCATCACGAGTATCTACTAGTTCAATTTCAAGGGATTTAATTTCCTATTCTCATTACACCCTCATCTTAAGAATCTATGAACTTCACCGAGTATCCTTAACGATTATTATTTGCAAATCCCTAAAACATTAAAAAAAAAAAAATCTCGAAACGCTCGCGTCCATCTCGCAAAAATTTCGACGCGTTTCCAAATTTTCTTCGCTTTCCGACATTCCCCAGTTTTCCCCTAGAATTTTCACCGAGGGCGGATCTCCACCCTAGACGTTTCAGCCCTAATATCCCTAAGCAAACTCCCAGAGAAGTTCGCTTCTTTTTTTCTCTCTCCAGGGGCAAGGGGGGGGTTCTCGCGGTGTTTTAAGGTTTTAAAAAGGGTGCTCTCTCCTCCGGGGGGCTTTCGCCCCCCGCAACCCTCGGGGGCGGGGAGGCGAGAAAGAGGGCGGAAGAAAAGAGGGTGCTTTGAAACATTAAGTGACGGATGGATGAGACTCCTAAGGGGGAGCCTATTTCCAGGTTTCTCAATTCCGCGGCTCCAGGGCGCGTCTTTTCCGATCCGAAGCGTCTCTAAAGCTCCACTTCCTCCCCCCCGACCGCCCCCCGTGAGATAACGGCCCCAGAAAGGGATGACACACCCTGGCCCCTCCACCTTCCCCCTTTCTCGCTAACCTCGCGTTCATCCTTTGAATTCATCTTGGGGACTTTTTTTTTTTTTATGCCGCCCACCCCTTTAGGGACTTTATTGTAGGGTTGTTTTAGTAAAATTTTCGGGATTTTTTTTAGTGACTTTGATTTTTTTTTTTTGGCTGGAGGATCTAGGTGGAGAGAGATCTTTCGAGTGGCAGCGGGGTGGAAATAGGAAATAATGATATATAGATGTATATAGAGATATAGACATATGTAATATATACCCCTGGGATGGCGAAGGGGGTGCGTCCTGATTGGGAAAAGCGACGGGTTAACTAACCGTGAGTGGTTTTCCATCGGAAAAGCATCGGCTAACTAGGGCGCCGACTCGCGCCCGGAATAATTCCCGCCCGGGCTTCCCGCCCTGGGCGGTGATTACGGGAGAGAGGATCCCCAGGATCCTCTGGCGAGGTCTCGCGGAGGATATCCTTCGGAGACGTCGGGGATATATCGATGGGAGGATCCACGCGATGGGATCGATCGATCGGTTGTCTGGGAAAAATTGTAGAATCGGGGAAATGGAAAGGGAGGGGATTTCCCGTGTCTTTTTATTTATGTCGTTTGTTTATTTATTTATTTTTCGATGTCTCACCGCGGAAGGATCGGATCCTTCTGGAGGTCCCCGGTTTTCTTCCTTTCTCTTTCGAGGGGCTCCTTTCGCGGGGGGTATCCCGGTGGCGCTAATAACGCGCCGCCCGGGCGGGAATGCGTTTGACTCGCGATCCGACACGCCTCAGGAATCCGAGGAGCTCCGCCGTGCCGGGAGTCCAGACATCCCTAGTATTCCGTCCGGGAGGAGCATAAACCTCCGGGCGTTGTTTATTGGCCGGGCTCGGTAGGGCCCAGGCCACTCGGGCAGATGGGGCCCTACGTCGGGCCCCGAAAGCGTCTCGATCGGGGCGCATTGTCGCGTCCTCGTCGGGAACGAATTTCCGGGATTTCGGAGTTCCGGCGGAATCTTATAAGGAGAGGGAATTGGGCCCGAGAGGCCCAACGAGACTCGTCGGGCCCCGAGGAAGTCCCATTTAGTCATTGGGGAGGGTTTACTAGATTTTTCGAAATCCAGGTTTTCTAAGTCCCTCCTAAGAGGGGGAATTAATCGGGGAGGTGTGGAATCGGGCCCAGGAAGTCCAGGGAGTCGTCGCGCCCGGGGCCCATCGCGACACCTGGGGCCTTATAAGGCTTAGTCATTGGGGAGGGTTCACCAGGTCTTTCGAACTCCAGGTTTTCTAAGTCCCTCCTGAGAGGGCGAATTAATCGGGGAGATGTGGAATCGGGCCCAGGAAATCCCGGGAGTCATCGCGCCCGGGGCCCATCGCGACACCTGGGGCCTTATAAGGCTTAGTCATTGGGGAGGGTTCACCAGGTCTTTCGAACTCCAGGTTTTCTAAGTCCCTCCTGAGAGGGCGAATTAATCGGGGAGGTGTGGAATCGGGCCCAGGAAATCCAGGGAGTCGTCGCGCCCGGGGCCCATCGCGACACCTGGGGCCTTATAAGGCTTAGTAATTGGGGAGGGTTCACCAGATCTTTCGAACTCCAGGTTTTCTAAGTCCCTCCTGAGAGGGCGAATTAATCGGGGAGATGTGGAATCGGGCCCAGGAAATCCAGGGAGTCGTCGCGCCCGGGGCCCATCGCGACACCTGGGGCCTTAAGGCCCCGCTCCGGCGATCATTTCGTTTCGTCGCGGCGGGACGTTGATTTAGATGGCCGCGATCCCGCGAGCGGGGCTACCTGTCGGCACCGTCCGCGGGCCCCGACTCGGGGCCTTAACGGGGAGGGGGGCCAACGGGCCCCGCGCTAATGACGCGCCGAGAGGAATGCCGTCCCCCGAGCGCGCGACCACGTCGGTAGCCATTTGTAATTCTCCCCGGGGAAAAAGTCGGCGAGAGGCGAAATCAATGTGCGAGGAGAGAAGGGCCCGCGATTACCGGTCCCACGGGACCGATTATTCCCCGCGTTTTGGGCCCGTCGAGGGGGGGCCCCCCGCGAAGCACTCGCTCCTCCTGCTTTCTGATCCTTTATTTTATTTTATTTTATTTTTTTTCCTCTCCTTAAGAGAAATTCCCGGATCCCGGGAACGCCGCCTTTAAGACACTGCCCCCCGACACTTGCGCGATCCGAGAGCGCCGCCATCTTGGATCGTTAAGCCGGGACGAAAGTGGCATCTAAGAGGGGTCAGTCGCACGTGACACTTTTCTCCGAACTGGGTGTACCGAATCGTTCGAAACTTTGCAACGTTAACGCGGAGGCCATAGAGAAGGTCCTGACACTCGTGAAATTGCATTTCTTTTATTTTTACACATACCAAAAAAAATGTTCGAAGTATCTGTACGCAGATTTATTTCAATACTGATGTCGAGCACGTGTCCGTCAATTGTCGCACATACGTCGACAGAGGTTGGACTTTAAAGCTGGCGAAAGAAATAGTCAAGTTTAAAGGAAATAGTTAAGTGTACCATTAATCACCAAACCAATAATCAGCTCGCTCGAATAATGGGCCCTATTTCAAGGAGGGGGGGTTTACGACGCGATACGTCACGTTACGTCACGTTACGGCACGTTACGTCGCGTTACGTCGCGTTACCGCACGTTACGTCCCGGAAAGTCCTCAGAAAGTCCTCATCGGGCCCCGGGGCGTTAATTGCTCTTCTTCCGGATATAAGGCCCCGACTTTTTCGCGCCGGATGAGGAAAGGAGGCGAGAGACCGCCAATGAGCAAGGGGGTGGGACGGGGGGGGAGCCGAGAAGAAAAGAGCAACAAGTGTCTCCCGCGGTGAGGGGCGAAAGCATTCCTAATTATTCTCCCCTCCCCCCTCCCCCCCTCCGGGGGGACCCGGGAGACAAAAACCACCTTGATTACACTTTCGTTATAATTTCATCCGCCATGCCGGAGATCCCGCCAAATTGGATCGGATTCCCGATCCGCCTCGCGTGGTCTCGCAGCCGCCACGGAAAAAGGGCGCGAGCCCGCCAACAAAGGGCCCCCTCCACCGGGGCCTTACCTCACCACGGTGGGAGGAAATGGGACCTTCGGGGCCGAGGCGAAATTTCGGGGCTTTTCCCCGTTCAGTTGTGACAACCGTTTTCCCGAGATTAAGGGGGAAATTATAGGTGAAACTGCGAGACGGGGGTGTGCGTTTTGCCGATCTCCTTTGGGCCCGTTGGGAGGGGAATTGAAAGTGGGAGTGGGCCTTAAATGAGAATGGTTTCTCGAATTTAAATTGGAAAGGGATTCTCGGTAGGTGAGGAGTTCGATTCCAGGTTTTTCACTGGCGATGGACACTTTGCTCGGGACTTGGGACTGATCGCGCGTTTTGGGCCCGTTAGGTCGACATCAATTAGATATCGAGGATCGACGTGGATTAATGAAGGATCGTTTGCTTCTCGATTCGACGTGGACCAGTGGTACAGGGTGGACACCACGAGGGTTCGGGAGGACCTCCTGAGGATGTGGGTCCCACTGGGCGCGGGGCCCAACCGGGACCTGCCCGACAAGGCCGCCGAGGCGTTCCTGGCCCGGTCCACCGAGAGGTCGGACTCCCTCCCTCTGCAGATCTGGCACTCCCTGGCGAGGTCCGCCCTGTCCTGGTTCATCAGCCGGACCTCCATCAACGGGTGAGTCGCCGACCGGGCCCTATCGGGCCCCGCGAGACCCCCACCTAGAGTCGAAATCATATAGGAGAACGGGCCACGCGAGACATCCTGACGGGTGATCGACATTTTGGGCCTTATGCGAGAGTTAAGTCCGGGAGTCGTCCGGAGCTCCTCCTAGCCGAGGGTTGGGAAAGGGGAAGAGGGGTGTGTCGGGGCCCGAGGGCCCCATGACTCTGGCTTTCCGGGCCCCCCCGGGCCCTAAGGCCCCGCAGGAAAGGCCAGGAAGAGAGAGGGCCCCGGATCGTTTGCGAGGTGATGAAAGGGGGCCTACCCTTCCACGGCGGTTAATTAATAACCGCGGAGATACGATCTCCGCCTATCTCGCTGTCTCGGGGCCCGACGAGAGGCAGAGAGAGAGACGGAGGGGGCGGAGGGGACAGGGGGAGGGAAAGAGAGGTAGCTGGTGGCAAGGGCCCCGGCAAGCGCTCGACGAGGTGGCCAGCGTGGTTATTGATGGCCAGCTTTGTTTGCTCCGCGAACCGTTTATTAAAATCCAACGCGGGTGATTAACCTACGGGCCCCGCGCGGTGGTAGCCGAAGCCGGCCTTAGGGCCCCCGTTACGGAGTTTGGGCCCTACGGTCCCAGCTGATGTCCCGGTCTCGCGGGGATAAGGAACGAAGCGGATTCGGCGGATTGACCCTAGAGATCGGGCGAGATCGATCGTAGGGCCCGCCATTTTGCACGAGCGTTGGGCCCATTTTCCGGGGCCCTATGCTCGTGAAAATGGCGGGTTCCGCGACTTCGTGGCATGGACAGTTTCTTCGGATAATTTCGTACTGTCGGAAGGGCTCACCCGAGACACCCTCGTCGCGCTAGTCGTAGGGCCCCTTCTCGCGGGGCCTGAGATACGAGGGAACCCGTCGGTTAGTCATGGAGCTGCGAAATTGGAGGTTAACCTCTCTCTCTCTCTCTCTCTCTCTCCTCTTTCCCCCTTCTCTCCTAGCCGATGCATAGGCGACGATCCCGACGCATTCCCGCTGGGAATATTAATTACATTCTCCCCCCCCACCGGTGGGGCCCAATGGACCCCAGTCTCCCGGAGGTGGCGGCGACTCCAAGAGCTCCCGGTCCCCCTCCCCCGTACCCTCTACCCTCTATCTCCGAAGGCCTCCTCTTTTTACCGTTTCCGTCCCTCGACGGTGCCGTAGAATTAATCATAATTAGCGGCAAGATGTCCTCCGCCGAGACGCGTCGGTCCCCGGGGGCCCGGCCGGGACTCTTCCCTCCAACGGGCCCCCTTTTATTTCCATTTCCTCCTCCTCCTCCTCCTCCTCCTCCCCCCCGCGGACCCGGGGAGCAGTAATTTGACCAAATTGGGCCGCGGCGACTCGCCGGAATCCATTCACACTGCCCCCGACGTCAATTAAAACTGATTGGGAGGGAGGAAGAAGGGGGGGGGGGCCGAATTTCGGTGCCGGGCTTAATTGCGGGCCCGCGCCTTCTCGGGGCCCTCTCATTCCGGGCCCCCGTGTCCGCGCTTCGTGACGCCTCGTGAATCGCGGTGCCTTCGCACTCTATATATATATATACACACACATAGGTATACATATATGTACATACGAGCTCGCAGAAAAGAAATTCTTGGAAAATGCCCCCCGCGCCTCATCGGGCCCCGTCCAAAGGTACGGCCCAAATTGCAATGTATACATACCCAAACCCATGCACGTCCAATTACTTATTACCACACCGACTGGAAGAGTTCTCCCTGAAAGGAGAGAGAAAAGAAAAGAAAAAAAAAGAAAAGAAAACCACCAGCGCGCGACTCTTCGGGCCCCGAGTTTGGGCCCGTGACCCCACGGGGGGCCCCCCTCCGAGGTAGGGGGACCGCGAATCGCGTTCCCTCGAGGACGACAACGGGGGCAGTTAAGAAAAATGTGTGCCGCGGAGCGAAGACACCACGATTTGTGGGGGAGGAACGGGTGGGGGGGGAGGACAGCAGTCGATGAGCGCGGGGCCCCATCGGGCCCCTCCGCCAGACGGAACCCAGTAGCCAGTTTTTCTGTCTCGCCGTACTCTCGACGGTCGGTCTCGCGGGGGCCCTAAAGGAGGGAACGCCCCCCCCCCTCCCTCCCCCTTGGGGGAGGCTGTTTAGTTCCGCGCGCCACCTGTTATGCTCTCCCCGGCTACCGGGGCCCATTCCGTCGGCGGGGCCCGATGGGCCCGCCGCGAGAGCGGGGTAAAAAAATTAATTCCCCACCTGTACCGACCGCGTGGATAAAGGCCCTTTTTTTTTCCTCTCTCTCCCGGCCCCCACCCCACTATCTCTCTCTCTCTCTCTCTCTCTCTTTGACCGCGGATAGCGTAGCACCTTATTTCTCTAACGAGACAATCAGGCCCCGCAAAAACGCCGAAATGGCGCGCTTCGACTCCAACCCCCTCCCCTGAAGGAAAAAATTAATTCCCCCGGTCGGATTACGGGTGGAGCATTGTTTGCTCCTTTTTTTTTTCTTCTTCCTTCGTTTGTTTCCGAGTATCGTTACCGCGTTTCCTGTTTTCTATTTCTTTTTTTTTAGGGGGAGGGAACGGGGTGGGGTGGTCCTCGTCTCTCAGGCTCTCTTAGATGTTCGTGGTCGATGGAACGAAGGGGAGGGTAGGGGGGGATCCCCGATTTAGACATTAGGGGCCTCTTTGTTGGGGGGGTGGGAGAGGTAATTTCGAAGGGATGCTCCTCTAGGTTTTCGACTTAAGTCGACGACCAGGGTCCGCGGCGGGGAGGACGGGGGAGGAAAGGGGCGCCTCCCTGTTTCCCCTGGATCCGGGCGAGGATTGGCTCGGGTCGGTTCGGCCGGTAATTATCATTAACGCGATTGCGCGGCCCCCCTACGGACGCGCGCACCCTGCCGAGTTTCCCCGATTGGCAAGATTCTCTCTCTCTCTCTCTCTGTCCTCCTCTCTTTCCTCCCCGGTCTTGTCTCCCTTTCTCATTCTCTCTCTCTCTCTTTCGGTGTCGGCCGTAATTAAGGGGGCCACCGCGCAAGCGCCAATTTCCTCCGGGGCCGAAAGAAAAGGGAAAGAGAGCGCGCCCGGCCGCACCCCTTCGGCGGATTCCGCAGCGGAATTCGCGCGCCGTCTGTCGCCACGGCCAGTAATTATAAGGGTGGGCGGCACAACCACCGGCCAATCGGAGGGCCCGAGGCTGCCTGACGGGGGTGCGCGCGCTTCTTAATTACTCATTAACCCCTTGCCCGTGGACGTCACTCCGCCCCCGCGGCCGGGCTTTCCCCTGGAGCCGACGCCGACCGCCGCCATTACGACGGGCCACTACGGAAAGGTAACCCGCGGTCGAGGAGTCGAACGGATGTGACCGGTCGACCCTCTACAAGTGGCGTTGGTTTATGATTCCAATTGATTCGCCGATTGGGCCGGTTTCCTCTCTAGGAAAGGTAGGAGGCCGGTTTCGGGGGAGGATTTCACCCTGCACCCTTATAATATAAGGTGCCTGCATATTGTGCAGGGCTCGGTTTCGTCGAGCCCGGGAGTGCGAGTACCCTAGATGGCGCTCTGCCCACGCAGACGGGAGTCGGTGCCGATCGCTCCCAATCTCCCGGGACGTCGAACGGGGTAGGAGAGACTCCCCGGCTAGGTGGAGGGCCCTCGTCGACGTTAAACGTACGTCGACTTTGGACATTGGGGGGAGTAACGTTTACGCGGGGGGGGGTACGAGATATCCGGATGGCCCTAGACGGCGAATAATCGCGATCGCCACCAATGCGCACCGGCCCTACGCGCAGCGTTGGCATCGCAACGATTTACCTTTCCGTCACGTGCGTCGGCCACTCTCCCGTCACGAAGTTCTAACCTCAAAAACCTAATCGAGAGCACCATCCCGTATAGTCCCACCCCGTCGAGTCCTCCCGACGCGTTCCCTCTGTGATAAGAGAATCTCTCTCTCTCTCTTTCTATCCCTCCCCTCCTCCCCCTCGCATCCTAGCCCAGCATGTCGAGAATCTCGGTAATTTGACTTTCGTCACCCCGCCGGCGTAGAGTCGATAGGAATCGAGCCTCGGCGGCACCTCCTCCCCCCGTTCACACCTACGCGTCGAGCCGACAGGAGTGGGGGGGACATCGTAACGGCGGGGGGAGGGCAGGGAGGGAGGGGGGGCAGAGGGGTACGCGAAAGACTCGCATAACGATCCCGTTTAAGAATCCACCCCCTCCGGTCCGGGGGAAGTGACGGCGACCCCCGGGCTTCCTCCTCCCCCGCGCCCCCGCGCCCCTTGTTCCTTCCACCCTCGCGTCCCCTTTCTACTCCCCCCATCCCCCTCATCCGCCAACTCCGCCGCGGGATGGCATTTGCAAACTCCCGCGTATAATTGCCGTTGCGCGCCCTCCCCTACCGGCGCCCCTCCACCCGGTCCTCCGGCGCGGGGGGCGGAGCCTCCCCCGCACGCGGTCCCCCCCCCGCCGCCGCCGCCGCCTCCACCCCTCCCGAGCCCGCCTACCAGCATCCCTCGCGGTCCCGGGCGATCCCCCTCCCCTCCCCCGCTTCCTCGCTCCCCTCCCCTACAGGCGCGAGATGAAACCCGCCGCGGGGGGTGGGACGGAAAGCGGGGGGGGGCAGAGGGGCAGGGGGCGACGACCGACGGGAAGAGCTAACGAGACGCCGCGGCGCGGCGCCCCCTAGGTGGAGAAGAGGCGGGAGGGGGATGCTAAATACACACGGTGCATGGCACACCCGCGGCGTCGGGGGGAGGGGGAGGAGGGGGGGCGACGTCACCCCTCGCCCCCCGTACGGCTTGCCGAGCGCGCGCTTTCGACGTTTCTCGCGAAATAATTTACCCCCCCGCCCCACGCTGCGCGTCGCCTCCATCGCCACCCCCTGGATACTGGAGGGCCCCCCCCCCGCCGCGAGGTGAGGGGGCGGGGGCGCACGCTTTTACATTGTCGCTCCGGGGGAACGTACACCCCCCGTTCCCTTCCTATCCCTCGGACTTATATATGTGAGTGGGAGGGGGCGTGTGGGGGTGGACGCGCCCGAGCGAGGCGAGACTCGCCTCCCTGTACGTCCGCGATGTCGACTGTATAATCGCCAGGAGAAAGAGAGAGAGAGAGATAGGAGGAGGGGAGGGAGAAGGTGCTGGATATCGCGCGAACAAGGGACGGGGGGTGGGGAAGAGACCCTCCGGCAGGGCTTTTCTTTCCTTCCAGGTTTTCTTGCTTTTCTTGGTTTTTTTTTTCTGGGGGGTGGTATTTTTGGCAATTCGCGCCTGGGGTTTATCTTCCCTATCGTCGAAAGGGATTTTCGCGCGTCGTTTTCCCTGGGTGGGGGAAATGGGAGGGGGTGGCGGACTTTTGGGTCCGTCGTCAGGCCCCGAGCGGGGAGGGTTGAGTTAGGTTAGGTTTGGCCCGTCGAGGGGGTAGACGTCGGGAGCGATGCAACCCTGGCTCGGGCCCAGGAAAGGGGAGAGGGGGTAAGGCCCACTTTTTCGTTCGAACGGCGACCGTGATATCCCCTTCCTCCTCCTCCTCCTCCTCCCCCCCCCCTCGGATTCCACCGTCGCGCACGTGCGCGTTGCGCACGCGTGTGTACGACGCGACGCGCGGCGGGGCCCCGCGCACGGTTCGGAGCGGGATTTGCAAACAATGGGGCCCCGGCAAACGGGCGGATTCTTTAGATGGCGGGCGATACGCGCCCCCGATTTACATATTATTGCTATTATTAGGTAAACGGTCCTCCGAGCGCCTCTTTAACACCGTAAACTGGCCCCTCGGGAGAGGAGAGAGAGAGGTACTTTACGAGGCGAGAGGGGAGGGAGAGGAATGGGCCTTATACGAGGCGTCGTGACGACTTTCCACCCCGGGGCCCCCGGGGAGGAGCGATTCCGTCGCGGGTAATTCCATCTCGAGTGCCGCTCGGCCGAGATGACGGGTCGCGGATGCAGATCGCACGCAACCCCATGGCGGGGGGGGGGGGCCGGCCGGAAGGGCCCAAAAACGGGGCCCGAGGGGTCGCGCGACCGCGGCAGTCATCGAGACTCGCATAGACCGGAGAAGGAACCTCCCGGAGTGGTACTCCTTCGGGGCGCCCGAGGTGACGAGGAATTAACGAGTCGGGTCCCGAAAGACGTGGGGGGGTGGGAGGGGGAGGGGGTAAGACCGGTTAATTCCTCGACACCTCGGGGGCCCGGTCTCTCGCGCGCACCTCCACCACCGCCGGGGCCCCGGGATATATGACGTGCGGAAAAAGACTCCGGGGGTACGGCAGACCGCATGCCGCCAGGAAGCCGGGCCCTTTCGCGGGAGTCCGGGCCCAATGGGATGGGGTAAGGGGGGGGGGGACAGCGAAAGGGCCCCGAGACGGCAAGAAGGGTAGAGAGAAACCGAGGTTCGGCGGGCAAAAAGGCGGTCAAAGCGGGCCCCGAGGGGGGGGCGCGCTCCCCGGGTGGGGCCCGTAGGGCCCCGAGAACGGGGGCGGTAGCGCAACGTGCGTTGGAAAGAGAGAGAGAGAGCGGAGGGAGGGGGGAGGGGGGTCGCATACGCGATACAATGGAGCCGAAGGAGCCGAGAGCAAAACCGGTGAATTAATTGTCGCTCGCGCGGCCGCGCCGCCTGGGGCCCGGGGGAGGGAGGCAGGGAGGGGGGGCCCTACGATCTGTGGCCCTGATTTGTGGGCCGCACGTGTGTGTCTCCGCGATGCGAGGGCCCCGTACGAGACGAGGCCTGACAATAAAAAGATCCGGCGTCGAGGGGGAGGGGGGGAGGGAGGGAGGGAGGGGGCCCAGTGGCGCGGCCATCGGGCCCCGGCCGATCGATTCCGATCGGGAATGGAGAGGAGGACGCGCGGAGGAGGAATCTCGCGAGTCTCCCCTGTATACGTATGTACATACCTATATGTATATATGCACCTCTCTATATACATATAATCCCACCAATAGAGGGGGTGCGAAGGACAGCGGGGGAGGGGGGCATGAGGCCTCGAAGGGCGAGAGGGAGATACCCGAGCACAATGGGCCCGAGAGAGATAGGGTCAGAGGGGGAGGAGAAGGGAGGGGACGCCGAACAATGCGGACCGCGAGAGGGCACCCTCCCCTCCCTCCCGCCGTTCGTTCCTCGCTGATTTTTTCGCGACTTCTTCCTCTCTTCCTCTCTCCCTCCCCCCTCCCCGAAGGGGTTTTTATCGGCGCGCGCGTTGCTTGACTTTGCATTTATTTTTATTTATCATTCAATAGAGGGGCCCGATCGAGGGTGGAGGGGCGGCAAGGGGGAGGGAAAGGTGCTCGTTAATTGATGGCACCGACCGATGCCGCGACGGTCCCGAGTTGGTTGCCTTATTTATAAGAGAGGGAGAGGGACCGAATTCACGATCAAAATCCCCGTGGGCCTTACGGCATTGATGGATCGGGGGGGCCCGAGTGGGGGGAGGGGGTTGGGGGGGTTAGGACTTTTCGGGAGACAGCGGGACTCTTTTTCCGATGCGTGGAATCCGCGCGACGGTGCCGGGACCTGTGAATGTCGTCGAGGTGGGAGGGGGCCTTAGGGCCCAAATTTTTGGGGGTTATTCTATTTCGGGAGGAAAAGTGATGGCATTCGGTGGGTTTTCAGGCTCCTGGGCAGGGGATCCATGCACGTCTTCTCGGCCGAGCAGTTCGTCAAGCTGATGGAGGCCAGCGGGTTCGCCGGGCCCTGGCACTCGCTGGTTGATCTCGGCGCCGGCGACGGCGCCACCACCGCCCACGTGGCCCACCTCTTCGAGAAGGTCTACGCCACTGAGATCTCGCCGCCGATGCGATGGGCCCTGTCGAAACGCAAGTTTACGTGCGTAAACGAGCCTCCGGACTCTCCGGACCGCGCGCTCTCGGCCGCCCCTTTTCCCGCCCGCGCACCTTTGCGGCCGGGCCGCACCCACGCGCGCCTCCCCCTCGGTCTGGAAATACTGCGGGACACTTTTAGGTAGCGGCAGCAACGTCGTTTCGACGTCCGTCGTTGCGACGTCCGTCGTTTCGACGTCCGTCGTTTCGACGTCCGTCGTTGCGACGTCCGTCGTTTCGACGTCCGTCGTTTACTACGGATCCATCACCCTCTATGCCGAGACCGAGGGCGCTATCCGATAAGACACATTGTACGATAGTTCGTCTCTCCAGGGTGCTCGACATCGACCACTGGCACGAGGAGGCGGGTCCCTTCAGCGTGATCCTGTGCCTGAACCTGCTGGACAGGTGCGACAGGCCCAGCACCCTGCTCAGGCGTCTGAAGAGCGCCCTCGCACCTGGGGGCCGGATCGTCGTCGCCTTGGTACTTCCCTTCGGGCCCTACGTCGAGGTCGGCGAACGCGGGGACCACAGGCCCTCGGAGTACCTGCCGATCAAGGGCGTCGGCCTCGAGGGCCAGATCCCTGCCCTCCTCGACCGCGTCTTCGGGCCCCTGGGCCTGGAGTGCCTCGCCTGGAGCAAACTGCCCTACCTCTGCGAGGGTGACCTCAGCCAGGCTTATTGCTTCCTGGACGACGCCATCTTCGTTCTGCGGGTGCGACAGGTGGCACAGGAAGGCACGTGGTCGCCAACCACGTGGTCTCTCGACCCCCGCCTCCCTTTCCCCTCCTCATCGCCTCCTATCCTCTCGTTTCTTTTCACTTTCTTTGAACCTCACCCCGATACCTATTAACACCACCTCCTGGCGTGTGTGTATATATATATACACGCCAGAATGTGGTGTTCTTATATATTACATATTATATTATAATTTTTTTTTCCCCTTCATTCGTCTTCACTCCTCCCGTTCATTTGTTCATTACTTTAATTATCCTACGATTCATTAACTTCGATTATTTTCACTTTCGCCTTGCATGTCTCTTAATTCCCTCCTTTAGCTTTCATTTCCTCCTCTTGCTTCGCAATTTCATTTTTTCTCTTCTCAACCCTTTTCTTCCTTTTTTTTTCCCCCCCTCTGGAGGACCCCAAGAGTTCAAGGATCCCTTTTATTCCAGGAGGACCCCAGGACCACCTCCCACGGGAACTGCCCCAGGTCGGATGTCGGGACGGAGGATCGCACCATATCAGACGCACAGGCATGTCACACTTGTAAATGGTTTAATAATCGTTATCACGAGTTCGTTACGCAGGAGTACAGAGAGACAGTAAGAGAAAGAGAGAGAAAGAGGGCGATACTGGCAAGCAATACGAGTTTAGTGTGCAAACATTGCGGGTAAATGCGACGGCGCGTGTACAGAGAGTCGTTTTGTCCTTATCAGTTACGGGGGGGAGGAGGGGGGGTTCGATCGATCGATTACAATTCGACTTACTGTCAAACCTTTTCTCCGGCTGATAAGCGATATACTTGAATTCTTCCATTTCCATTAATTTCTTTGGGGGGAAAAAAAAAGAAAAAATCCCTCCTAATTCTTCGCCTCGTCTCTTTTCGTTCGTATAAAAAAAAAAAAGAAGGAAGAACAATGAAAAGAAATCTTGAAAAATTAAGACCTTTTCCCCGTCAAGTACGAACACTTGCGGTACAGTTCTCTGTGTACTAATTTGATTACCTAAATCTCTCTTATCACAAATTATCGCGAAATATCGCCTAAGTGCCGATTAACTCGCAAATGCGAGAACTGCCTTTACTTTATATTTTTCTTTTCCTTCTTTCTCAATACAAAGAGAGAAATTTCCCGCGAAATCGCCGATCGCCGCAGAAACTTTGACAGCAAGGCGTCTCTTCTTATTCGCTTTGATTTTTTTTTTCTCTTCTTTTTTATACCCTTTTCTCGCATTTTCTTCTTGTATACAGTTCGCACATGTAGCTACGACGAGGGCGGGGATAACGCGGGTATAACAATTAATGAATTACCAATAATATTGCAGCAGCCATGTATATAAGAGATCGTCCCCTGAGTGGCGTGAATTTTTTTTCTCGCGGTCAAAAGTGCACTGATAAAAAAAAGGATGTGTATAAATTGTCACGAATCATTCAGGAGTGTGTGGAAAAAATCCGAGAAACCCTCAGGGGACGATCCGATACCAGAAGAAGTACCTGATGAAGAGGGAGAGCACGAGAACGCGATAAATAAATACATATACATATATATACCTATTTATTTATAATTTTTTTTTTCCGTATATATATGTATATATATACGTGTGTCTGTGTGAGTGGTAATGGCCGAAAAAGTCTCTCTGCCGAAACGTGCGCCCGCGCCTTATAAAAGAAATTCCGTCGAAAAATGGCGCTCGCGGGTGTCTCGGATTTCCTTCCTTTCTTTCTTTTGCACTGTCCCGAGTAGGCCGAGAATTTGTCGTTCGAGTGGAAAAGGAACTTACCAAAGAAAAAGAAAAAAAAGAAAAGAACGATTAATAACGCGAGAATTACATTTTTCTTTTTTTTCTTCCTCCGCCTTGAGCGCACCCGCGACCGGAAGGCCGTTCAATTCGCCGGGGACGATTTCGCATTGTTAATCGAATTTACATATATATAATATATACATACATTTTATTTATACATATGTATATATTTACTTTTTGGTTTCCACTCTCGTCCTCTCTTTGGCGAAGAGCGAGATCGCGACCGGCGAAGGAACAAGGACGATGAGTTGATAATTAACGGACAGGATACATCTTTTTCTTCTCTGTCGGCGCGGCGCCTAATCGTCGACGATTTTTATCTCCTCTCCTGTTTTTTTTTTTCTCTCTTTTTTTTCCTTTTAATCCTTTTCCTTCTTCCCTCTTTTTCGAAAACGCAAACGAAAGTCGAGTCGCAGCGCTGGGGAAAGAAAGAGAGAGGTTCCCAGGACGACGCGAGTCCTGCCGCTTTAATAATAATTATTAATAATTTGTCGATCCTTAACCTAGTCCACGTTTATCACAGTCCACGCATGACTCGTTTTTCCTTCTTCTTCTTCTTCCTTTTTTTCCTTTGTTTCTCTCTCGTTTCTTGTTTCTTGTTTCCCGCCCCGTGCAAAGTCCTAAACGCCAACGTCCCTTCTTCTTGTGTGTCGTCTACCTCATCTTCGTCGTCGTTTTCCTTCCTCCCGTCTTCTTTGAGCAAACCTTCGGTTTCCTTAAGTCTAGTTCCCGAGAAAAAAAAAAATAAAAAAAAACACCAACGAGGAAAAATCTCCCTTGCTGACTAGAACACTGTTGGAGAGGACTCTCTTATTTTTTTTTCTTTTCTTTTCTTTTTTATTCAGCTTCCTTAGTCCATCTTCCGCTGCTCACACATCTCCTCCAGGCTTCCTCCCGTTTTCCTGCATTCGCGTTAAACAGAGATATCTCGTTAATCGACATTCCCTTACTCCGTCCAAAATTTTAGATATCACGAGGAACCGTCCTCTAAGTCCGCCTTTCCTCGTTTTCAAGTCTATCGATCGTTTCTCAGCTGGTCAAGGTACTTAGGCTCGTACTCATAACCTCACTTTCTGCGTTGAAAGGCTGTCAAATAAGTCCTTTCAACGTCTGGCCACTTTTTATACACTTTTGTCTCGCTTAGTAACAGGCATCGACCTTCTCGATCATTCGCCTGCACATCTCTTTGAGCATGTATGACTATCACACCTCGCAGTACTTCGCACCCTGAGCTTTCTTCCTTTTGGGGACAAACTGTCGATTACTTTTCCCTCCATGCAGTACTTAATCCTCAATCTGATGCGGCCAATTTTTCTTTAGCCATTTAAAGACTACAAATAAAAGGGATCAGAAATTAAAAGACTAAAAGTCAAGTATGAGTACGAACCTTGGCGGGTTTAATTAGAGAATTATTATGTGGAGTACTCACATCGCAGGCAGATAGGGAGTCCCGGTGTGCTCTAATCGATGCTTGTCCTCGTTCTTCCAGCTGGAGACCGGGATGTGTGGCGGAGGCAAGAAACTCCTAAGAGACTGAACGAGCTGTATCGTGTCGACCAGAGCTGCAAACGAAACACCGGTGAACTTAATCGAAGGCATATCTCGATTTACTCTCCAGACTCGAGAGGTGGCGAGTCAAGTTTCATCGAACTACTCGACTCACCAAGCTTCATCGAGTCTTGTCCATACAGACTGTAGATTTTCAATTGGAGCACTTAGGAACATTTGCCATGAAAACTTGTCCTTAATTATTTTCGTCTAAACAAGATTGACACTTTGTGTGATTAACAATTTGTTTAAATAAGATTTCTCACGCACAGTGATTTTATAATCAAACACTGTTCACTGTTCGATACTGTATTCGACTCCTGCGTGAAGATTATGTATGGAGGTTATGTATATAGGTGCAAGTTTAAAAAATTTTAGTTACAGCCAAGCTTTTGTAGTAAATGTTCCAAGGCATCCAGAATTGACGTCATGAGGTATCGATTGACAAATGGCTATTTGTACCCTTTCGATTAAATGTGTACAGTCTTCCGAGTGTATAATGTCACTTATTAAGGTTTTCTTCGACCCACTCACTTTTCTGCAGGGCTTCCGACTGCTTCCCATAGGGCTTGCACATTGCTGGACGCACGCAGGCCTTCATCCTCGCCATGTTCTTCATGACTTCTGCGAAAGCCCTGACTATCTTCTCTTGACCTCCTAGAAAGGAAGAAGCGATGAATGGAAGATACGAAGGACAATATTAAGGAATTTTTATCGATGAGGTAAGCCACTGCAAATTTAAAGTTACCTTCTGAGCTGGACGAAGAGGACCTAGAGCCTTTGTCGTTGTCAAGAGACCAAGCACCATTGTGTAAAGCTAGGAGGTCCTTGTTGGCGTTCCCTAGGCCCTGGAGGTTCCCCAGACTCAGTCCGCTGAGGCCTTCGAAGTTGTCTAGGTTGGAGCGAAGGAAATCCGTCAACTTGTGGTCGGACACTGGCACCGATGATATGGGATTCTCGTAGTGAGGCTTGCTGGAAGGCTTCTTTTCTTGGGATGCAGGCCGATGGGGAATATTTAAGGATGGTCGACTGGGAGGACGCTGGAGACTCATCTGGTTACCACCACCTCGAGCGTCGGTGAGGTCTGCGGTGCCTCCAGCCATGTGCGTGTTCGGTCCACCTCCTGTCATTGCCTGATGTAATCGAGTAGCGGAGAATGTAATAACCTAATGGACAAGGTCCATTGTGCCATGAGAAGAAAAATTTACTTACTGCTTGGAAATCCGTGCTATGAGGGAAGCTAGATCTCAAAAAGGAAGCAGTCGCTTCGTTGTCCTGGATGTAAGTCGGAGCCATGTGGCCCATTTTCTGCGTGAGTTCCAGCTGATTCTTGTAGTAACGGCACGCAGGATTGGGACAGTTCTGGACTACTTCTACGATGAATTCCTTCTCCATTCCGAAGCATTCTCTGCCAATGGTATAGGACTCCATGACTGCCCTGACGGTTCCCTCCAATCCCAAGTGCAATCCGTGCGGGCCATTCATGTGTTTCAGCATGACAGCGTTTGCAAAGTGTTCATACGGAAGGATTATCTTCCCATTCTCTCGGAGGACCAGTCGCCCTTGAGAATCCAGCGCTACCCTCGATGCCATCATTCTAGAAATTTCAAGACAAATCAATTAACCTCAATTCCTACAATTAACTTTAAAGCCCTAGACAAATTACATCATCTACAAGATCTTTAACTTACTGCAGGTACGTGGCGCTGGGGAGTAATGAGGCCTCTTTCAATTCGGTGAAGCACTGCAGCAGCTCTATGCTCGAATTCCATCCCTTGTTTTGGAGATACAATTGCAGCAGCATGTACATCTTCTCCGTGACATAGCCAGCGCCGCTGGCGCTGCCCGGATAACCAGAACTACCGGCAGGAGGACCCATCTCCGTTTGCATTCCCTTAGCCACGATGCTTTTCATAGTCTCCGCCAGGTCCATCCTGTGAACCGACATCCTGAATTAAGCTGAGCGATCCAAAAAAATCTTCAAGATAGTCCTCTTCGCAACGCCCAGTGATAGGAGAATGTGGCAACGAGTGCCAAAATCACTTCCTTCGGAAGGCCCTTTACTGTATGCGAACCATACTGAACATGATTACCTTCCTCTCTCCTAGCGTCAGACCGTCAATGCCTTGTTCGCATGATTTCGCAAATTCGGCCACTGTTGTCATCCTTTGGCGCGTCCCTCTGAGTGATGGGGGGGAAAAAAAGAAAAGAGAAAAGGAAAACCGAAGAGCACTCGCCCTCGCACCGGATGCCGTGCCGAGGCCGCGGCCGAGGGCACCGCCTCAGTTCGGATTTACTTAGGAAAACTCGAGCTATACTTGCCGACACTCACCGCTGGCCCGGTGGCTCGCCATTCGCAGCTCCAGGAAGGCCCAGAGGCCTTAATCGCCTCCGCCCGACATACAATTACTAATTAAACGCTTCGCATTTCCGAGCGGCGTAAAGCGCGATAATTACTCCCCCGGGGAGAAGTTCCGGGTAGTGCCGTAAATATCGCTGCGGTAGTAAATCTAGCGCCGCGCTGGTGGCGACATCTGCTAGGAGACGCGTGAAACCTCTAGCGAAATCTACCCACTGGGTTACACTTACTTCCGATCTCCTAGGTTATTGACATTGACCCAGAAATGATGTGCCGATTTCACTATAAATCGTAATACCACTTAGCGAAAACCGTGTTTCAGCAATGCGGAACGTTAAAAATTAATAGAAGAATGAATTACCATTCATTGCTTGAAAGTGGATACTGGTATGTAGTTAACGAGTCAGCCGTCACGCGGTGTGTCGCTGGTGGCGCGAAAGTTTGAAAACAGGAAAGACAACTAATTTCTATAAGAAGTAATGGTCACTAAGAGAAGCCATCGTAAGCCTTATCGTTAACTCAGATATCTTGTATTATCAAAGAGTAAACTATCGCATAACGTGTGTAAAATACATAATAATAATAATATTAATATCAATAATATAATAGTGACCACGATCAACGTGGGGATAACGAATAAATGATTTCTCAAGAGGCCCCGTCCACTCTCCGCAGACTGAGGAAATGTACCCTCGAGTCGTTCCAACTCCCGGAAGTCACTGTCTTTTAAAAAGGAATAAGTGCACTTGTTTCCATGCATAAACAATCACCTAGATACCGTCTCCAAGACCCGATATCAATAAACGTATGTACATCCATTCGAGTATTTACAAGATTATGCAACCAGTTTAAAGCCAGGATTTTTTCCTCGGCGTAAACAATGTTAAGTACACAACAAGGAATGCCCACTTAGTGAATGATGCACCGAATCTTTCAGGATCTCCCCGAAAGCCTGGAGCCTTCGCCCTGCCCAATTTGCAGAAAGAAGTTCCTTAAAAAGGACCCCAATACAACGAAAGCCCTTTTTTCGCGTTTACGCGAATCTCTGGAATGTGCGCCCTATATACAAGGGGCGAAGACAATGCGAACAAGTAGAAGATAAACGAACATTAATTTCGCAAGCTCGATAAGTCTTTGTTCTCTTCCTCGAGGCCCGTCCTGTGAGGTCGGGGTCAAGGGGTTACTCACTCAGGAAACCGTGGATATTTTAATTCCCGAATTCACGTGGAAATTGTGAAAGATCATCTAAACATTGTTACTATTATAAGGCCGATCGTCACTTGTTATCGAATCACGTAGCCGTTTATCGTATAAAATCGAAGGCAACCGATTTCCGAGTGAATATCCCCTAGGTCGGGTTCCTGCTCTTGCTTTCCAGACATGAAGAATGCATTATCACTGCTCGATGAGCAAATACCAACAATCCCCGTTTTCGGTCAATTGGTTCAAACTAGAGCGGATTAATCAGAAGCGCGGATACCATGTACATTTTGTACAAACTGTCCGTGGTATCGACGCGAATCGTTAAAGAAGAGTGAGTATTGCCCGAATAAAGAGATGCGCCTCCGCTATGAGATGCCATTGGACCCGCTCGCCGCCTTCTCGGGCAGGCACTTCGTGATCGTCGGCTCGATCAGCTTCCACACCTCCGCCAGCTGCAAGAAGGAAAGAAATTGAAACTCCAAGGACACTCCAGGGAGTACTTGCCGCTCGTCGAGCGAGGAGGGGATCCCAACCTACCGGAGTTCCTTCAGGGAGCGGAAAGAGAAGCGGAAGAGAGATTAATACCAGGACCCGAAGAAGAGTGACCAAGGGATGTAGAGCTCACCTCGGAGTGTCCTCTTATCTGGACGCTGACGAGGCTCTGCAGGACCGTCGCGAGGATCTCCAGGTGTGCATGGACGAGTTGAGTCTCCATGTGCAGGCAATGCAGGGAAAAGGAGTTCCTCAGCTCGACGTTCGCGATCACGGACTCCTGGGCGACCATCTTGTTCTCCAGGTACTCCACGGTGTCGGCCTGGAAGAGGAAACCGAGGTACTAAATACCCTCGACGACCTTAAATCGGACGAGGGTCTTTTTTGCGTATCTACGACGCGATAGGCGCTAAGCGTTCTTCGCATCATCAATATAAAGGCTCTCACGTCGGTCCCTCTGATGACGCCCTGCATCTGCCTCTTCTTCAAGGCCAGCATCGTCGACAACGCTCGCTGGTGGTCCGCGCTGACCCCTCGCTCGTGTCTCTCGCAGAGGATCCTATGCGCTACCAGAATATCCAGGAGGAGGTTCAATCTCTCGCACACCATGGTCTCTTCCCTTACGGCTTGCTGAAGAGCCCTCGTCGAGAGCAGGCTGAATTCCCTGGAAGCCCCGAAGGGTTACGCATCACCTTAGCCAAGCTACGCACCAAAGACGCAAACGATACGCAGCGAATCTCTTCAAGAAAGCATCTACATCCTTAAAGTGATACGAAAGGACCTCCACATTAACCGTAGATAGGTTAAGTGTTTCATACAGTGAAATAAATTCTACACGCTCCCTGTACACGTCTTTGGTATGCACAAAGCAGACATTGGACCTCACGACGTAAACGAGACAAGGTGTGTCACCGCGCAAACATTACAATAGCCATGATTTTGTTACCCAACCGACGACGGTTTTAATATTAGCGCAACGGTGCGGCGTTACGGAAGTCGCGAGAGGACGTCTACTTTGCGTCATTAAGGAACCTCATGTCTCTTTTCTGTCTTTCTCTAGTACTTTGAGATTACGTGGAAGCCCTTCTTCATGTCGTGCCAGATCGTGGAGCCCCCGGTGACCCAGGAACTGCTGCCGTGCGACTCGGCAGCCAGATTCGTCAGCTGGGTGCCGAGTTCGGCCATGTCGACGGCGTATCCATGAGACCGGATGGCCAGGCAGTCGGCGATGTTCTTCAGCCGCGAGATCCCGGCAAGTATCACCTTGATCTGATCCCTGCTGTTGGCGAATTCGGTCAGGGTCTCCGCGGGCACGAGCTCCTTCGCCCTGGAGGCCAGCTCCGAGGTCGCGAACTCGTCCGGGACTCGCCGGAAGACCTCGCGAATCTTGTGCTGGGTCTCCTCGCCGGTGTACGTGAAGAAGAACTGCACGATGGGGTCCTGGCTGACCACCGGGTGTCGGGCAATCAGCGTCAGGAACCGCAGAAGCGAGCGCCTCCTCTCCTCCAGGAACTGGGAATCCGCTGAAGAGGGATTGCAACGTTATAATGAATCCACGGAAAGTGGAACCCACCCTTAGCGTAATGTCTCCTTGTCCTGCTTAATGGCCAAGACTTCAAGTCCATCAAGTTACCTCCCACGATTTTCTTTGGTGGCAGCTTCGGTATCAGCCTGTAGGGGAACCTCGCAAGAAGTAGCTCGTGCAGCGAGACGAAGTCGTTGTAACGTCGGTACACCACCGAGTTGAATCTCTGAAAAGTGATTGCCATTACCAGTCCGATAGTTCATCCTGAAATCGCCGTTTTCCCTGAAATCTCTCCTAACCTTGCTGGCCACCTGGTACTCCACGTGCTTCAAAAAGATGCCCTTCTTCTCAGGTACCAGGTTGACCTCGATGGTGTCCAGGTTGCAGATCTCCAGGTAGCTGAGATTCAGTTTTGCCGGGTTAGTGTTCCGGTACATCCGCTGGGCCAGGAGAGTCACCTCCGAGAGGTCGCCCAAAACCGGGACCGGCAGTTCTGAGGATGAAGAATCAATTAATAATCGTTATCGACCTCCTGCATGTACAGGAAGGAACCCGAAGAGGAGGCATCGCCAACCTTGAGATTCCGTGTTCTCCAGGAGTTTGTCGCTCGGCTGTTTCCCTTGCTGAGCGAAGGCGACCAAGGCCAGTCCCTTGTAGAGGCCACTCCTGGTTAAATAGCCCATCTTGCTGTCGACCAGCTCCCAGATCTACGGAAAAAGATGGAAAAAAAATTATCTCCGTAGAATTTAAAGAGCCGAGATGAAATATAAACGACGCGTCGCGCTCACAAGGCTGTATACTTATACTAGCTTATGCATTTGGTGCGAAACTCTACCTAGTACCTAAAACCGGTGCCAAGCCCTCTCAGCACTCATTTACATGGAACTACGAGAATTGTACACCTCTATTCTACATAAATATCCATTAGTTATCCATAAATACTCGCAGCATATCAATAAACTTGGTAGAGTTTCGCACCAAGTACCAATACAAGCACGTCTACAAGAGCTACGCTTCCGTCGATTTTTCACGGCATTCGGCATTGCACATGTCGTTCAATTTCGCCCTTTGTCGTGATATTATCAATAAATCGGAAGAAAAACATTGTTCGGTGTAAAAAAAAAAAAGGGAAAAAAAATGGACTCCAGGTTCCATAGAGTCGTAAGTTTCCCCGTGAGTTTCCTCGAAGCCGAGCGCTGGCCGAGGTTGGGCCATAAATGAAAGTAACAACATTCCTCGGATTCTTTTTCTTTCCGCCTCGTCCGCGCCCCGAGTGCCTCTCTCTTTTCCCCAGGACTTCTTTATTATCTCGGCTCGGGTTTAAGTGAACTCGAAGAAGGCATGAAATGCACTTTTCACATGAATAATATAGAAAAAAAAAAAACAAAAAATCAAAGACGTGTTCCCGGGTCGAATCCTGGGAAGTCCTGGCCGATGGTTGCGTTAAAGAGGAAGTCCGCATACGTGTGCGAGCGCAAGGCGAGAAAGAAATGAAACGCCATTAAGCGAAATTAGCCTCGTCCGTGGCGCAGAAATAACGGGGGAGGCCCTCTCTCTCTCTCCCCCACAATGTGTTTGTGACACTTGTCGCATGGTACGTGATTCTCGAGGGCGATCGTCCAATACCCGCGATTGTCGTTCGCCTCCACGACAAGGTCCTCGGATCCTTATCTATATTTCCTCAATCAACCCTCGAGAAACCTCGAATCGAGACTTAAAAAGTATAGGTATTTTAGTTAAATAATGTTACAGAGGGTTACGACTAAGCACTGAATTAGAGAGCACTGCCACTTAATTATGAGTAACATATAAATAAGCCTGCGTCACTTTCCTCCCCGTTGATCGGAGGAATTAAATATCTCCTCCGGTGATCATCGACGTCGAGTGAATGGCTCTTCTTTTTCTTCTCATCCACCGACAGTGAGCTCCTTCAGGCTCGCCTTAATCTCTGCGAGATTATATGCGTGGAATAAAAAAGTCACGTTCGCCTCTGGACGTCCGATGACCTTCCTGGGCCCTTCCCCGATGCTGATCAGCTGCGCTGTAAAGAGGTCCCATCAGTCGGAGTCCTTTGTATGGGGCGAAGGACACCGATGTGGGTCTCTGACGTGAAGAGTGCGCTGCAATTACCAGCTGCCTATCGGTGGGCAATCAGTAACGTCACCGTACAATGCCCAAGAATAGTGAGCGAGGACGTATCGCTCGTAAATGTGGCCATGCTCCTTTAATCCAAATGAGACCACATCGACTCGTGGACTCGGGCCATCTTTCGCAAGCCTTTCCCCTTCTTTCCACTGCGTCACATGCTTTGGGCTTGAATCTTCTACGGGGTTCGACGTGAAGGGAGACGTCCGCGTATTAATCAGCAATAGGCGTGTTGATAAGGCCGCGCCGATAGCACGGGAAGCTGGGCTGGATTGTGACATCTCCGATCCAATGGCGCATCAACGCAATTAACTACAATCGCCGCGCTATTTTTTCCTCCTATAAACTGCTCTCGAATGGACTGCTAACGGAGCCATTAGTGGCTTTAATCAATGACTTTCGTAACACCTTTGAACGACTATCGGATACCACCATCGGAGCACTCGATGTGCACCTTGAGGAAATACATGGGTTTGCTACGATCAATACTTAATGCTTTTGCTGGGTCAAGTTGTAAAAAATCTAAACGAACAAAACTTTCCCCTGCAGTGTATAATTACTGCTGCTATGAAGATTATGCAGGAAACATCAAAAGTTTGCTAGACATTATTTTGCATTTATATTAGATCATTGGAGAAATATAACCGATAAGTGTACTTGTATCTAAACAGTGATACTCAACGAATGTTGTTACATGGAAATTAGTAGAGTAATGAATAAAATCTTTATATTAGCAGCAATGATATACCCTAGGTGAATGTAGTCCACTTGTTTGTTTACAATTCAACCTGAAAAAGGTATGAATCATTAACCGCATGAAACCAGTGTACCCCATTAAGAACCGTTCGCACGCTCACGGTCCCACTTGGGTAATAATAATGGCCCGAAGAGGCATGCCAGTTCACGAGCATAAACTGTACACTGAAACTGTACTTTTTACAGACACATGCATGTGTCAAAGAGCCAGGTACATTCTCCGATTGGCCACATTTCTCAAAACGGCAGGAAAAACCCGAAAACCCTTAAATCATTATTCAACGTACCAGCGATCTACCTCTCTGCAAAAAAACACCCGAATGAGAGGATGAAATCTAGAAAATAATCACCTGGCTGAGTACAGGGCTGCTGAGTTGAGACTTGACGAGAAGAGACTTGAAGACTTCCCTCTCAACGTTCCCTCCAGCCGGTGAGCAGATCTTCTCGTAGACCTCCCTGTAGAAGGCCGGTATCGAGCCTGCGTGTCCATATCCCGACATAGCAGGTGGTTCCAGGAACAGCCGAAAAGAACAGGGAAAAAAAAACACACAATCAACACTTCAACGCTGCGTATCGAAAGAGCGCCCTACCTTGCCGACCATCGCGGGGCGAAAGTGCGGCGTAAAGAAAGGACCATATCCGAGATTTCGGAGGGAATTTTAGGGCGCGAGGGGTACCGTCGGATTTCCCCTTCCCCTCCGTAGAGATTTCTGTTGGGAAAGAGTCCGCGGCGCGGGTTAATCTCGACTTGACGCAGGAAAAAGGCTCGCTATTTACCGGAGGAGAGATCGGTCGACGCCATCTTGTTTCTCGTGGATCATCCGAGCAGAGCCGGACCGCTCCCCCCTCTCCCCGACCCTGGACCACGATCAGCGAGATGCGCTCTCGAGCTATCGACACGTCTCGATGTATCCATGTATCGATGCCGGATCCTCACAAAGGATCGGTCTCGCCCGTCGCACTGTTCACTGATCACGGAAACATAATCGGAGGCGATAATGTAGGGCACTGTAATTACTTGGTCGGTCGTCGAGCGCGCGACGCGCAAAGTACGAGAACGTGTCTCACCGTTGCCGTGCGGCGTGGAACTGAGCGGAGGTGCCAGAGAGCGAAGCCGCCATCCTGGCTTCGCTGCTAGCGCCATCTATCGACAGAGCAGTGGACCCGGTAGCCAGGCCATCTAGCAGTGCCTCAACGAACCCAGCTATGCCTCCGCGCCAACCACGAAGCGGCAGATTTGAATCGACTTTGAATCCATATTACAACCGCGGTTTATTCGAGAATAAAATACATCCGTTGTACAAAAATCGAAGGGGAGTTCACGGGTCATCCAGCTCGCCCAGGGGGCACGTTTTTATGCACGGCCTCTCGAAACCGCCCATTTCTCTTCGAACCTCTTTAGACTTCTCCTTGTCGATCGCCTCCATGAGCCTGATCTTCTGGGCGATCTCTTGTTGAATTATCGGCCGGTATTTCTTCCCCTGGCCCAGGTTCTCCATGTCGGTCAGGAACTCCATCCTCTCCCGGATCCCGTCCACCACTAAAATATTAAATCCGGATGATAATTGACCTCCCGATCGCTTTGAAAGTAAATAATGAACGTACGGTCTTGGAGAGCGTCCACGTTTTCCGGGATCTGCGGTTGTCTCCTTGCTTTGTGCAAAATTCTTGGCCCCTGAGGGGTCAGGGGCATGTCCTTCCCGTAGGCCATCATGCAGGCCAGGTGTCGCTTCTGCTTTTCTTTATTCGCTGCCGACATAATCGACGTTTCTTCATTTCTCTTTTTAGAAACTTGTTAAGAAAGGTATCTCTTACGTAATGGAGCCAGCCTCCTGTACTGCTCTCTTTCGTAGGCGCCGCTGCTGACGATCGCTTCCTGCATCCTTTTCTTCCAGAGACATGGATACGAGGCCTAGAAAGGGAGGAATAACTCTTGGAAACGAATCCTTGCTTTGAAATCGTCTTTAAAAAGGTCTAACACGGGTCACCTTTGACTCTGCATACTTTGGTTTCGCAGGTTTTGGCTCTGCAGGGGGTGGCAGGGGTTCCCCTCGATCCACAGCATCCTGAATGAATTTTCTTTGCATCATAGACAGCCTGGACTCCTCCATTAACACTGTCAATAATAAAGCCAAGGTCAGGAATATCAATGAAAAATAATCCAAATGTCAGGGCATCATGCTTATCCATGACTCCATTCCGTCTAAGATAAATCTACAATTAAAGCTATTATTAAAAAAGAATTCTTTTACAAAATAATTAATTTATATTCATGTATTTATTTATTCATTTTTTACCTTTGATCAGATTTCTGGTCTCCTCGCTGTATTTCGCTCGCGGTGGATTATGAAAAGCACCGACCCCGACCCCGACTCGCTGATAATTCCTCTCCATCCTCCAGGGCTCTTATCTCCCTAAAAGTTAACCAAATTAATATCAAGGACCCTCTGAAAGGTCGGAATTTGTCAAAAGGTCGCGCTTAGCAAGTCGACGATCGCTCGAATAGTCCCCAGAAAATGAGCCGAATTTATTCCTCGGGCTCGACTCGCTCGTTTCTATGACTACTCGAAATGTGACTCACCCTCGATCGAACTAACTTTTGCGATGAGTTAGAAGGTCACGTGTGAGTTTCTACAAGTGCGCCCCTCCCAGGTAACGAGGGGTCCTGGGACTCCCCAGGTGATAACTCGAGACCACCCCTGATAGCGTGTCTCGAGATTACTCGGTTTCACGTATCAAACGACCCCTCGAAACCTGAGAAATCTTTACGGATTTTCCTCGGAAACCTCAAAGGAGCTACAAACGCGATTTTATATATACATATAAAACAAAGTATTTACAAAACTTTTCTCCAATCTGGGTGCACCGAATTATCCGAAAATTTATGACATTTTACAAACATCGCGTTCATCCTCAGGGCCTTCGTAATCACCTGGTGAAGTTTCAAACGATACGGTGAACCCAGTTTGGGGAAAAGCTTTAGAAATATTTTAATAGTATGTAGTAATTTTAATAGTAATAGTTACTTGTAATATTTTAATATTATAAGTACGACAAGCGACGTGGAATTTTTAAAATTGGTGCACCATCTCGAGAGACATTGCGCATGTCCTCGAGCAATGGCTCGTCGGTGGTGCAGGTCGAGAGAAAATAATATTCAGCCCTGGCGCACTCGTCGACGTCGACGTCCCCCACAGGAACGTTACAACAAATACATAAAATAAAATCCGCACCCTAATCATACGGGGAAGCTTTGGATTCTTTACGTCCGTCCAACGTTAAGGTGTTCAGTTATTATCAAGACCCTTTATCAGTGAAAGTTATTGATTCGGTTCGCACCTAGAAATTCCAGCCGCTCCGAAACACCCCATAAGGTAGGTCAAGACCGTTTAAAAGAACTGTCATACATCCCCCTAAACGCGCAATGAACGTCCCCATTACCCCGAATTGCACATTCGCGATTACGCCTTTAATTATGAAAGTATGGAAAGAAATGTTTAAGATAAGAAAAAAAAAAATAAAAATAATTAATTTACTCCATATTCTCTGTCGGGTCGATTTAACTCACCATAATGTTGGTATTCATCGCGCGGAATTATGTTTTAAAATGATTATAATTAATTCTCGTGGGACTGCTTGACAGAAATAAAATCCTACCCCTAGCTGGGGACCAATTGTCGTGGCCGATCGTTAAAAATAGACGCAGGATATCGATTTGATAAATGAAAAATAATAGAGCAGCAAGGCGATCGTTCTAAGCGCTTGTGCCCTCCCCTGCGGTTTTTCAATGTCGAATCGATCCCTCCCCGCAGGGCTGTTTTTATTCTTCAGGGTGAGAAGTGGGTCTTCAAACATAACCAGGGATCTTCCACTCTCCGAGGATGATCTTCAGGTTGCTGACGACCTGCCTGCACTTCTTCAGCTTGAAGCAGGGCACCATCCTCATCGCGATCACGCATTTGGTGAGACCTTTAATATCATTATTAAATCTCTAATCGCCTTTCGTATCACCTTAAGAACCCCGCAAACTTACTAAACAATCCAACGAAAGGCCTCGTTCGTTTTTTCAGTTCAGTTCGGGATTTATCCTGATAATACAGCTCCTGATGCTGGCCCACGCGATGGAGATCCGAGAGCTGGTCGCCATAGATAAAGAGGACGCTCTGGAACGAGAAGCCCTGGACGACGTATCTTCTAGACACCTCACTACAAGGATAATGGATGAGGCTCATCGAAACGCCATATGTAATTCATCATTATTTAGTAAATCGATAATTTACCTGACTCGACAAAGTCTAATGGTCATCGCAGGATCACATTTAGGCGACTCGTATCATGATTTTTCCAGCGGAGTTGTACTGGCTGTATTGCTTCCTGATGATAACTATCATCCACCTGTTCACGACGATGCTCCTACTGTACGGGGCTATAAAGGTAAATCATTTATTATCACAAGAACAATCAGGATATCGAGTTTGGAAAATGTTCCTGAATTAAAAAGGGATTCCTCCCTCAGGATAACCGGCTCTTCATGGCGCCCTGGATGATGGTGATGATGGCGAAGATCATCTACCTGACCCTATCACTCGTGATAGTGCACGAGGGTGGTCCCATAGTCGCCCTGTTAGGAAAGGCGCATTTCATAGAAAGTTAGTCATCCTATCAAATCTCCTTATCAAGGAGAGTTTAAGGCGATATGAAAGTGCCGTCAAGATTACTAACGAAACTCTTCTAAATTCTGCGCACAGAGTTCTCTGGATTTTTACCATTTAATATGAAGACCCTAAGGTCCTTTTCGTATTTTTTTTTTTTTTATAAACAATTTAATTTCCATTTATGTAAAACATTTCATTTTATAAGTGGGCCCTGGATATTCACGCGATAAGGGCATCGAATCGAAATTACTCCTCGGACACTTCCATACGCCCTTAAACTCGACTTTTCATTCGACTAAAGGACTCGGTTACAGGGATGTTCATCGTCCTGATCATCCTGATCTGCATCGACGTGTGGTTCACCGTCTACACGACGTACGAGAGCTTGGACACGAAGAAGAAGGGCCTAACCCACGAAGTGCACGACCCGAAGAAGCAGCCCCGTCTAATAATCGAGAATACAAAGTTCCGATGCAACGCTTCTTCGAGTCGACCCTTAGACGTTTAATAGATAGAAAAATCGCTTGAAGAGAGAGAGAGAGAAAAAAGGAGACATATTTCGAAAATGGGAAGAGACCCACAGCCAGCTCGATTACTATCGGGTCGACCCATAAATTCATGCGGTATAAAAAATGAACAAAATGTATCATATCACGTTCTTTCACCCGAGGGATGGAAAAAAAAAAGAAAAAAAAACTGCCTGAACGTTGAGAACAATTAGTGAACGAAGGAGACCCTTGATCAGTATTGTTACAATTGTTAAACACTGTTGAACGTCACTTCTTGGAGTAAATCAAGCGCATCCGAAAACGACGTATTAAGGCTTCATGAAAGTGACGTCAGAGGTGTCTCGTTTATGAAACTTTTCTCCAAACTGGGTCTACCGAGTCGTTTCAATATTTACAATGTGAATACGAAGACTATAATGAAGGTCCTGACACGCATGAAATTTCAATTTTTCACAAGTTTGCTTATATATATATTTTTTTTTAATTTTTCATAAAATATGAAACTCTATTGGGTATCAGGAGCGTCCTTATAGCCTTATTAAAGGTGTAAAGTTTAAAACTATTCGAAGCACCTGGTTTGTAAAAAAGTGTCATAAACGCCTACTCAAATGCGACTTTGGCACCCCCTTAAGATGAAATCCTCGGAGGCTCCAAAAAGCGCAAAAGCCAATGAAACCATAGAAATTGAAAACCGTAGGCAGTAATAACCTCGGAATTCAAGTACAGAGGTGATAAAACCGGATAGCGGAGTAAATCAACACCATGATCGCACTTTTATTTGATAAAAGTGGACGCTAATAAGTTAACGGGCCTGGAGGTCGCATTTTATTTCCAAGCCCAGGCCGAGAGTCTCGTCCTCGTCCTCCACCTCGGCGGTACTTCGACGCTCCTGGTTAAGTTGTATAATTACTCCATGTGTATAATGTATAATAAATGTACGGAAAAGGAGACGAAACTACCGGTAAAGCTTGGGAGATCCAGCCCTATAAAGGTGGCGTCTCTTAGGCCCGGTCTTAGACAATGAAACGTGTCGATAATTCCGGATTCTCCTCCCGTTACGTTTTTCCGAAAAGTGATCGCCCATTGAAAAGCTGATAAGCCGACAAGCCGATAAGCTTTCCCGCTCCGGGCGCAATTAAGTCTTGATTCAAGTCTCGTTTTCAGTCGAAGGCCCGATATGTCGGGTGCTCTTCAGGGTCGAGCTCTTCGTCGTCGAATTCTTCCTCTGTTCCGTCGGCCTACGCCCTATCAACGCGGCGTTAATAATCCCTCCAGGAACCTCCCCGTTGGCTCCTCCGGAGACAACTCGAAGGCTCGATCGCAATCAGGGCCGACTCGATCCGCAACACGAAAGCGAAACGTACGAGTTACGTTGGCGGTTTACAATTTACAAGTCCTGGCCGAGTCACATCTTGTCGTCCGTCATCTCCAGGAACTGCGCGTAGACGTCCCTCGTGCACTCCCCTTTGTTGTTGAAGAGGAACTTGTAGTAACTCCCATCGGCGCATATCACTAAAAAAAAAAGGTGTTCTTGTTAGAGGAAAATTATAAAATGTTCATAATAATTCATGCGATGAAACAGATTTACCTATAATACTATTGTTATCGGTCCCGAAGGCACACATGCACTGTGGACCGCCTGGTACCTGGAACTTGCAGAAGCTCCAACTCGAGCTGAAGTACTTTGGCAGGAAGGTGGCGGAGGCTAAACTGGACTGGCGATTTAATTTCTGGTCCTCCACTGAGAAGACATGCACCGTGCCATGATCGCTGGCAACGCACAGCCACGCCGAGTCGTGATTGAAGTTTATACTACAATGTATTCACTTGTCAAACTGGAAGGTGACATAACAATTAATTTGGAAAAGACTCGAGAGGGAGAGTTACCAGTAAATATTCGCATGGTTAGCTCCCCTTCTCAGCTCGTTGATCATGGTACCATTCTGAGCATCGAAGACTCGTATCAAAGTGCCCTTTTCCGAAGCCGTAGCCAGTCGAGTGCCTTGCAAATTCAGAGCTATACACGAAAGGGGTGTTTCGTGAGCCTCAATGTTCAATGGCTGCTTCTCTGTATTCGCCAGGTCTATAACTAAAAAGTTTCGATACATGTGGTGACCGTTTGTTGGAAGGTAATGTAGATTTATTGGCAACTCAGGATGCGCTTACCTTGGACATGTCCATTCTTCCTTCCTGGGAAGGCCAGAAGAGAGTTGTTGCTGTTGGGACACAAGACGCAAAGACCTCGAGGATTCGGATTCGTTTCGAATACGTGCAACTGTTGAGGGCTCTGTGTAAAAGTATACACTTTAATCACTCCCTCGAGGATCACCACGATTCTGTCCCTCCGTAGCTTCACTCCCTTTACAGGGGCATTAAACTCCAAAGTAATGGCTGGCGCCTTCTTGAGATCGTCCCAGATCATGACTGAAAATCATATTTTAGTTCACTCTCCATCTGCCACCGAAATACCAAACGATCCACATTACTAACCTCTATTCACAGGATACATCGGATTGGCGCCACCGCCAACCAGAGCCAAGTAGTTACATCTAAACAACATCTCCACATGTCCCAGTCCTCCATCATTAAAGTCGTGACGTTCCTTCTCCTTTAGCGGGTCGCAATTATACACTCTGAATCCATTATCCATGCCGCAAGCGAAGCATCCTACAAACACGTGAGAGCTTGTTAACAATTTGATACTTCTGCTATCTGTTTACGAGAGCATCTCATTGCTTTCTTTTCTCCCCGGGTATCGTTTGAGATAGACGCACCGGAATCACCTCTCTCCCTACACACCATCGTACCACCGATACCCAGTTTCAAGAAAACTTTATATAACCCTCGGTCCAGTAATAACACGCAAATCTTGACCGATTTCTGATGCAAGCAGCAAAAGGGATTAAGATAGGATTGCAAAAGAGCAATAAATATAGGAAAATTGGAAACCATGCCAGGCAAAATCCTCAACAATGAAAACGTAAACTGTCATTCCTGAACTCGAGGAACTTCTGCCAAGTACGAAGTTCCCAGGGTAGCTTTTGAGGTTAGTAGGGCGAACAACAATATTGACACACCAGCCCAGTGTCAAAACGGCAGAAGGGCGCGGGTTATACGCACCTTGGTCTTGATTAAAGCCGGCATAGAGCAGTCCATTTCCGTGAGGGTTTCCCAAAGTTAGGTTCATCGCTAATCCGTGTCAGGATTTATCGGAGAGCGTCGAATCGATTCGGGTTCCGAGGTTCAGTCACATTTTCACCGGTTCATCGCGTGAGATTCTCCGTCCCGGGAGCACCGACACCATCTTCACGCACGCGCGGCACCGGAACGACGTTCGACTGATCAGCTGGTCTTCGTTTTAAAGTGCACATGCGCGGCGGTCACGTGGCATAAAATGGCGGCCGTCGGTTCACGTGACCCAAGATGGCGGTCGACACGATCACGTGGTGCAACCAGATGCAACATGATACCGATCTTCCTGTCAAAATATTAATTATTTATATCAACTAGTTTATATTAACTCCTCGTCTGCAATTTTGACGGTACAGTTTTGAAAATACTGAGTGAAAAGGAGATAAGGACTCTGAATAGACTGTAATTATATATTATAAACAAATGGGCGTATTGCACGAAACTCTGATAAATGTGAGGTTAATGCACACTTGCAGTGTGCTGTTGAGAAGGAATTTAAAAACTGTAAAAGGTAAACTGGAATTTTTGCTTGAGTGTGAATTAATGGGTGGGTTTACTTATCTTATTTCTCTGGAATTTTCTGTTTTCTTAGGTAAATCACACAGTTCGCAGCTATGGCTGGAGAGACAAATGCGTGATCCCTATGTGGAGCTCGCAAAGCAAGAGAACTATCGCTGTAGAAGTGCCTTTAAATTGTTGGAGGTTAATGAGAAGTTTCGCATTTTTACTCCGGGACAGGTTGTCGTGGACTGCGGAGCGGCGCCAGGTAGCTGGACGCAGGTAGCTGTAAAGTTAACCAATGCCGACGGTAAAGATCCCGATGTACCTATTGGAAGTGTTATAGCTATTGATAAACTCCCAATGCACCCGATCGAAGGAGCTCGCATCTTGGGGGGCTGCGATTTCATGGCCAAAGAATCCCAGGATAAGTTACATGCCGTGTTGGGCGATAAACCGGTCAATTTGGTATTGTCGGACATGGCACCGAACGCTACGGGAGTCAAAGAGCTCGACCACGATGGTATCACCAGCCTAGCATATGCGGCTTTAAAGTTTGCTCTAGAAATGTCACATCCAGATGCCACATTTTTGGTCAAACTGTGGGACGGTGGTCAGTCTCAGCAGCTGGAGAACGACATCTCCAGGTTCTACAACAATATCCGAGTGATTAGGCCCATGGCAACGAGAAGCGAATCGTCTGAGAAATTTATCTTAGCCCGGGGATTCAAGGGACTGAAAACCTAAGCTTCTATACCTAATTACGAGTACGTCAAGCTGTTTTGTAAATAAAATGTAGAAACAATACACTAATACACAGACTTTCATCGTCTTACCTGGAGGAAGTGATCGCCCAGTGAGAAAGATATCTGTGCCCAAGATTTCAGATTTATTTAATACTTCAAGTGTGACAATAGGTAATATAACACCATTTGGCAAGCCTCGGTGCAGTGTATCGATATCGAATCCATGCTTCTTCCGTGACAAAGGTATCGAATCTGGAAAGGGATTAAAATAAGAGGCACGATGCTTCGTCTATCAATATCGTTATATATATATATCTTCACGTAATTTCGTCGAATCACGACCGATCGAGCGATCATGCGAAACACAAACATACGCAATATACATCGACATGTTCAGCTATAAATAATACATAGGATTTAATACAGTTACAATTAATACAGATCGTCGTTACGGTGAGTGTTAACGTCATATCTCGCTCAATGCGTCCTATATACAATCCTCCGATAAAGTCATTATGTACACGAACGGGATATGTATACTATATTCATATGTATATACGTTATACACGGTGTAGACATTTAATACGAGACATACAATAGACAGTTACCGGCCGCTGTATCAAATATCGTTAAGTTAATAATTTACTCTCTTATGTACCGATACGTGGGGAAGTCACGTAAAAAAGTATCGAAACTGCGAAAGCGCCTGGCCAAAAGAATCCTGACATCGGAGAGCTCATTAAATGGAATAAATTTCTCCCACTAAAGAGAAACCCCGTTTCCCCTTGGAGGAAAAAAAAAAATTAATCATTTATCCAAGCTCTTAATTAATCCCTTCTCCAAAGAGAAATTAATATTCCTGTATATTTCTGCCTTTTTTTTTTTGCTTTTTCTTTCCTTCAATTTTCCTCCAAAGAGAAATGAACATTTTTCTCCATTTAATCAGCTCGTTTAAGAGATTTCTCGGATTCTATTGACCTCGCGATCAATTCCAACCGGAAACGAATCGGCATCGTTCGCGCCTTCGGATTAATTATTAATTAGTATCGTGATTACGCCATGTCCAATTGCAGACCATAATCGAAAGGACTTCGGCAATTCGAACTGCAATTGCGATTTCGATGCCGTTCATTTCCGGGGCTTCGTTAACTCCGACGATCGATCAATCCTCACTGATCGATCCCGAGTTATTCCATTTCCGGAGTCGAATTGTCGGAATTAAATGCAGGGAAGTGGTATATATGGACTCTGCTCTGTGATGCAACCATGAAGCCGGCAAAACTGAGAAATTAAACAAAGGGGCTATTTTGTTATTCCCCAGTACATAGAATTTGTAGACCAAATATTCCATATTCATAAATGCCTAAAAAACAGATGACAAATGGGCTCTCGTTATTTTTTTTTTTGTCTATCCCTTTTTTCTCACTTTCTACATAAAACAACTGCGCAGCACAAAACGACGTCCTAACGGCACGAAGGAAAAAAAAAACAGAAAAGATGGAAATAGCCCCTCTGGTAGCTCTCGCTCTTTTTTTTTTCTTCTTTTTTTTTTCGCTATCATGGCTTTACAGGGTCCATATATCGAAATCTATGGTACAGTTTACGGCTAAATCGGAGAGGCGGATCCTATGGTGTATTACGGCGTTACATTTACAATTACGCGACCGTTAACGACACTAATTAACCTCGCGATCAGTCTGTCCACGAATGGCGGGGGATACGGCCTCGGGGGTACAAAAAAGTGTCTCGGAATGAAGAGGACGCGGCGTTGGCCGCCATCTTGGAGAACGTCCTCCACATCATTCCCCGCGTCTTTCTTCCCAATTATATATCCTTTCCACGGATCCGCAAGATGTGCGGATATATAACATCGACACGACTACGAAGATAGGAGGATTGAAAGAGATCCAGGCAGATTTTCTCTCGGAATTGTTAGGCTTATGGGTTTCGTTTAATCCTACGTCCAGGGATTTTTCCACCTCGACGTTTCGCCTCGGCATTTCGAGCCGAAGAATTCGCGCGAGTTACAACGGTGTTTGCAATTTTCGCGGCCGATCCGCTGGCCGGAGACTGTTTGCAAAATAAACGTTGCGATAACGTTTTAGGAGCGCGGTTTCGCGCGCTGTTAAATGTCCAGGGAAAACAATTCTTGGCCCCCCTTCCTCGTACCTGAGAGAAATTGTTTACCGGCCGCTCGAGAGAGAGGAAAATCCGAGGATTTCTCCGAAGCCGGACCCGAAAATGGTGCCCCGAATCGCTTAACATCACATTGAAAAAAAAGAAAAATGTTCATTGAGGACCGAAGAAATATTTCTTTGAATAGTAACAATGCGGCCCACCGTTCCCTCCAAGAGAAAGACCTCTGGATCTCTAATAAAGTGCCCTTCGCTCTCAGAAACAGAGTCCTCTGTTCTCCAAGATGGCGGCGCGCCGTTTCCTAACTCACGTTGAGTACACCTTGCTTGGGAAGATCCCTTTTGGCCTGTTGACCTTGAGTTCGGTTTTGGCCATAATTTGGCATCGATTCCGCTGACCTCTACGAGAAGAAATCTCTGATCTCCGTAAAGTGTCTTTCGTTCTCAAACTGAGAGTCCTCCGTTCTCCAAGATGGCGGCGCGCCATTTTATAACTCCAGTTGAGGTACACCTTGCTTTGGAAGATTCCTCTTGGTCCGTTCACTTCGAGTTCGATTTTGGCCAGGATTTGGCATCACGAATAAGGTCTCCTCCGTTCTCAGAAAAGAGCCTTAAAGTCTCAAGCGACTCCTCCGTTCTCAAAAAGAGCGTCCTCTGTATTCCAAGATGGCGGCGGCGCGCCTTGGACGTTCCGTCGTCGAGAAACGACAAGAACAAGGTTCCACCCAAGAATAGTCCTTGTCGGGTTCCTCAGGAAGAAGCCGAAGAATATGACGGTCTCATCGAGTCTTTAACCAACGGTAGACCTCAATTTCGGCGCAAAGACCCTGTTGGCGTCCTGAGAGGACAATTCCCTAAAAAGAGAACTCCTCTGTTGGGAATTAGAAAACCTGTGCTCCAGCCGAGGCGCCGCCACCCCCTGAGGATATCCCTGAGGAAGGCTCGGGGAACCCGAAGGATATAAGCTAGGGTCCCTGACGAGAGGCATCCTGGTCCAGAACCTGAGGAGCATCGGCGCAGGAGTCTGTCTGCTCCTCTGCCCGGACTGACCGACAGGACTCAGGCTGGGTTGCTGAAGATCCTGCTGACGATCGGTCCTCCAACCTGGAGGAATCCACCAGGGTGGCTGTTTCTGATGCGGCGAGACGCTGCTCTTCGTGTTCGTCGAAGAGTGGGGGCCCTCTTCAGGGTAGGGCCCCCTGTCCTTGAAATCCTGGGCGTGGATGCTGTTCGCCTCGTCCCCGGGGAATCTTACGAATCCCGAGGACGAGGAGAACCGCTCGTACCCTGGGAACCTGACGAAATCCTGGCTAGGCTTGTAGTCGAAGCTGGAGGGTCTGAATCCAGGTCGGGAGGGCCTCTGAAAGGAGGAGGTAAACTGCTCCTCAGGGTCGAGGTACTCCGACCTGAAGGGAGGGTCCTTGAACTGAGGCAGAGCCACGGTTTCCCGGTTGAAGGACGCCTGCACGTCGATTAACGACTCGTCCTGACTCCCAGGTCGACGGAGACCCTGAAGGGGCGTCGAGGTCAAGGGTCGCCTTGAAGAGCTGGGGATCTGGGCCGAGGAGACCACTTCAGCATCTTCGGGATGTGGTCTTGTCTCCTTCGACCCTTCGAGACGCTCCGGGAAGATGGCCTCCAGGTCCGCGTCCACGTCATCGGGAACCCTCTCGGTGTACCTCGTCTCTCCAGGGTCGCTTCCTAGTCCCTTGGTAGATGAGGAAGGAGTCGGTCTCGTCCTCATATTCAGCAACGTCGTTTCCAGGACGAAGTCCTTCCGGACACTCACCTCGCTGGAGATCGTGCTTCCGGTTTCGAGGTCCTCTTCAAGGTCTACATAGGTGTGCTCCGTTAATGTAGAGTTCCTGGCCGGACCATTTCCCGGTGTCTTCAAGGTCGGGTCTTCCGCGACGTGCTTCCACTTCTCAAGATGAAGATCCACGCCACTCTCGGGGATGGTCATGCCAGCTTCCCCGTGCTTCAGGATCTCGTCTTCAACTTCCGTGGAGTCCTCTTCCGGGTGACCCGTAGACTCCACATAATCCAGGTCATCGGCCTCCTCTAAGGGAACTCTGTCCGTCTTCATCCTGTCCAGGTCTTCAGGGTCCTCCTCGACATCTGCTCCAAAGGTCGCGGGCAGAATCTCGAAATACGGCACAGTGACCTCGGTCACTTCCTTCCTATGACTCTCGGATACGTTCTCCACCTTCACCAGGATATGCCCTGAAGAGCTGTTCCCAACGGCTTCAAGATCTTCCTCGTAGACCGTGGAACTCGAAGAAGGCGTCCTCGTGGAAGAAGACATCTGAAACGCGGTGCTAAGTAAATCCGAAGAGGGGACATCTCGACTAACTTCCGGCGCCGCCTTCTTCAGCTTCTCTCCGACCTCTTCGGATACTTCCTTCGGGACTTCCGCGACCTTGTAATCGACGACGTCGGTGAACGTCATGTTCCCCTCGTCGAACTCGACGACCGGGACCAGCTGATCGGAGGCTGCGAATTCCGCGTCGACCTTGGACCCGTTCCCTGGAAAAAACGGCTCTTCAGGGTAACCCCTGGTACCGTTTCCGATTTTGTACACCCCGACCGTGTCCTTTCTGTTCTTGTCGTGGGACTCATTCGCAGGGACCACCACGGGAACTTCCATGGAGTCCTCTGCCTCCTGGTTGGCCTCCACCTTGCCACCCTGGGGATCGACGTTCCCCACCAAGGGGATGTTTAGCTGAAGAGGCCCTGAAGGACCTGCGACCGGTTTCCTCTCCCCTGAGGAGGACCCCACGTCCCGGTTTGCGTACATCGCGTTCAACCTCTGCAGCAGGAAGTCCAGGTGAGCTTCCTTGTTGATGTTGACGATCTTCACGCACCGGCCCATGGCGTCTGCGCGGTAGCCTTCCGCGCACGCCGGAAGCGCCGGGGCTATGAAGACGCTCTTCGGGGTTATTCTTCGGAGCAGAGATGCGGAATCCAGGCTGGAGTGGGCACCGGATTGGGCGTCCACGAGGAGCCAGGCTTGCCAGGCAAGTTCGCTGGGGGAACCCACGTCCTGGTCTGGAGATTTAGAACCCGAGGAGGACCTTGAAGAGGAGCCCGAAGAGGATCCCGAAGAAGACCCCGAAGAGGACTCCAGCGACGCTCTAGATCTCGCCGGCACGGCTCCCACCTGAGATACCGTCAATCCCAGGAGGAGCACGACTATCCCCCAGGTTGTGCCTCGATAGTGACTCCTTGAAGACATGGTCTTTGTGCTTTCCACCTCAGCTTCGGACCTGGCGAAAATCCCCGTTGCTGGTCAACTCCTCCACGTGGTGCGCAGCATCGGTTCCACCTGCAAAGAAAAATAGATTTCAATCCTTAGACCTGGTTTACATGGAGGCGTATCTATCCGCTCAATTAAACCGCAAACGCTGATGTGGTGTATCGTGAATACGCTGATATATGGTATATAGTGAATACGCTGATGTGGTATATAGTGAATACGCTGATACGGTACATAGTGAATACCCTGGTTTGCACTCTAATTATCGGCCCGGGGCAAACGCCATTGACTCTGTATACAGAAACGTGGACTCTGTTCTAATTCTCGGCTCGGTGGAGTGTTATCACCGAGGTCCATCGGGGACCCCGGGAAAACAGGTGAGGGATTTCTGTCCGCATCTCGCATGCATCGAAGTCCAATATTGGATCGCGTGATTTCCCATATCGGCGTATATCAACGACCCGGGGAAATATTTCGCCGGAGCGAAGCCTCGATAACTCGTTATCGATTCTACGAGGCCCTGCTCCCGATATTCGCACTCGCGCTCTCGAGGTTTCGCGAGGTTTTCCGCCTCGGCTGAGGGAGAGACCTCGCGGTGCTTCCCCGCCGCCATCTTGGCTCGGGCGCGACGCTGATTGGCCGATTCCGTTGGAGCGGCCCTCGCGATTGGCCGATTCCGTTGGAGCGGCCGGCCAGCTCCACCGGGAGAGACTTTGACATATAATCATTACTTACAGAAGAATATCAATTTATTTTATGCTCTACCATTGAATATTTATTAAACTAAAACAATTTCCAAGATTGACAACGACGATTTAACCGTCACACGAGTTGGGTAAAGTCTAAGAAGTTAAATTAAAAAAATTACCAAACGGCCCTGCGATTCCGTCCAATCTGCGGAATTCATTTTTCGCGCGTAAGCGACAAAAAAAGTTGCAGAATTTTCAATCTGGTGTCCTATTTAAATATATTAGATGTTTCTTATTATAAGAGGTGTTTGAAAAGGCCTTAACGTCTCGCAGGGCCATTATATATACGCCAGACTATTTTTCCTAATCCACCGGATTTATTATTCGCGCGTAATCGGGTTCTAGGAAATCCAATATGGCGTCCCATCCCGGCGATTGGAAAGTTCCGATTGTTATGAGAGGCGTTTTAGGAGGCCTTAACGTCTACCGGCGCCGTGTCCCCAGGTAAGGCGATTCGTGTTACATACACGAGGAGGGAATCCCGCGCCTCCGGCTTAATTTAATTCTCACCGAAATCCATCCGCGGAGGTTTACGGCGGTACTTAAGCGCCGTTCCCGTGAGATACGGCCGCGATTACCAGCGCGGGTATCCCTACCTCGTTCCGGATATTTATCGGCTGTTTATTTTTGCAGAAAACTGTCGGGCGTTACGAGCGCGGACACGCGCGCGGCCGCGTTTCCATGAGGGCTAACGAGCGTTCCGATTGGCCGAGGGCGCCGATTGGCCAGAAAATGGCGGCCGACCTCCCGCTGGCCGTCGCTACCTAGAGGTCGGCCGTAACGTTTCCATCCTCGACCTTTTTGCCGGGCCGCGGAAAAAGGGCCCCCTTTCATTGCGCCGGGAATTAAGAGGCATTATAAAGGCGAATTTACATAGTTGCCGCGCGGGGGCATTAAACGTCGCCCCCCTGGAAACGCGGCCCGAGGTAGACATAAACGCGGAATGCGATAAACGGGCCGTTTTCAATTAACGCGGCCCTTTTTCAGGGCCCAGGAAAACATCCTCGGGCGGGTTTTCACGACCGAACGACCGGCGACCGCCCGCTGATCGCCGTCGACGTTTCGAGACGCGCCATTACGCTTAAACCAGGTTTTCACGAGTTCGAGGAATCCCCCCGCGAGAATCGGCCCTCGTTAAAGCCGAGTTTACATGGTCGTATAAACGGGCCTGGAGATCGAGACTTTTCTCCAGACGAGGACGGAAAAGTTTTTCGAGAAATCTAGGAAGTAGACCCTCCCCGTGAAATCGGCCCTCGTTAAGGCGGATTTACATAGACACCGTGTAGGTCCCGAAGTTACCCGAAAACTCCGCCGGATTTCACCACCGGAGGGGAACGAAATTTTCAATCCTCCTCCCGTTTTCTAAAATCAGTCAGCTGCGTCATACCAAGGTTATGTTAACCTGCCTGACATAGAAAAACAACGTTTCGCGGGCGAACGCAACGAGAATAGGTTGCACGTAGAGATTCTTCCCTTAAAGAAACTTAAAGTCCCTTAAGAGGGGAATTTAGACCGAGGTGCACATAGTTCGCGGCGGTCCCGCCGGCGGCGCCAGCGTCGCATTCTGGTGGACCTTGAGAGATAAGGCGAAGCCAACGGCACACGCTCTCGTGGTCCCCGTTGGCGCCAAACTCCACTTTCGTTCCCGGCGTTCTTTCCATTGGAAAAAAAGAAGAAAGAAACCTCGACTGAGGAGGCTTGGACCTGTCTCCATCCTCTTCAAGGTCCGAAACACCTCGAGGAGTGGACAAGCCGTACAATCGCTTCCGTTTACACGCCATTATCGAGGGTAACTATCGGCTCGCTTCGAAAGTCGAACTCTGGCGTTTCAGGAGCGAGGCCGAGGCTTAGATACATTACATTATATATATTATAGATACATTATATTATATTATATTATATATACTGTCTATACAGGTATACATATATACCTAGACCTCCCACTCCAAGATTTTCAGTAAGCATAATGGCTTTAACTGTGTAGGTGTCATCGGGTCACGTGGTACATTCGTTTAACCCCTTCCACTGTAAAATGGTCTATATAAATATATGGTCTAAAAAATGATTGGGTCCTAGTGCCGTCGGGACACGTGGTCTATGTGGTATTCGAGTTTAACCCTTCCACTACTATGCGAGGTCTAGATATTTATGGTCTAAGGGCCGAGGCGGCTCTCTGCGGTCTCAGGACTAGACGGCGAGTGAGAAAGAGAGAGATGTATGTGTATACACGTAGGAGGGAGAAAGAGGGAGATAAAGTCGAGTGCACTCGGAAGGAAGGGACATCCGAGTGCATTCCACGGCGTTGTAATTGCAGCGTTTCTCGTTACAGGAGGCGCCGGTTATCCCACGTGTTCCTTTCCACCGTCTTTCTACGTCTCTCTCTATCTTTTTTTTTTCTTCCCTCATTTTCTCTCTCCCTGGTCGACTGCCAAGTGCTCCAGTTGTGGGACTCCCCGTTTCAGAGTGATTCCTTGCAGGGAAGTCTCCTCGCCCTCCCCTCAAGAGGAACAAAAGGGAATTAAGAAATGGAGGAAATGAAGAAATTGGTCGAAAGTGAGGGGGGAAGGAAAAGCCGAGGAAAATCTGGAAAATTTATGGATGTACCCCTTGATGATAGATGACTCCCTTTTTACGAGACGTGGGATGACGAGAGCGAGGAAACATGAGATGCGAGAGAGTCTGAGGAAAGGTATGAGGAAAATGCGGAAACTCCGAGGAAATATGTGAAAATATGGCAAATCGAATATAGGGAAAATCTCCAGGTGAGGATCGACGGATGAGACGAAATTCTAACGACTCCCTTCCTTCTCAAAACGTGGAAAAGGAAACGACGCAAGGAAATCGAAAAGAGAAAATGTGAGAAAATGTTAGAAAAATGTTAGGAAAATGTTAGGAAAACGTTGGAAAACGTGAGGAAATACGAGAAAATGTGGAAAATCTTGAGAGAGGACAAGCCGGCGAATGGGTCAAGGTTTCCAGCGCATTCTCCATGCTTCCCCCCTTTTTTCCACCTCCCTCCCCCCTCTTTCGCGGGTCCACAAAGAGAGCGTCGCGGCGCCAGCGATCTGTCTCTCTCTCTCTCTCTCTCTCTCTCTCTCTCTCTCTCTCTGTTTCTCCCTCTCTTTCTCGAGGACTCCAAAACACGTTTGCGACACGACTGGCCCCTCGCCAAGGAGGTTGGGGCGCCGGTAATAATCTGGCCGAAAGTTCGCCCGGGGGGCGCCGACCCCTCCCCACCCCCCCACAGGCACCTGTCCTGGAGAGTTGACAAACGAGCCTCGTCTTTTGGGCGAAACCCCTTGACGAAACTGCGTCCCGACGATTAAGAGGAGATTCTCCATGTATAATTCTTTTTTTTTTTCTCAATTTTTTTTTAGTTTTATACATTCCTATATTCTTGGGGGGAGGGGGGGGGGGAAATTAGAAGAGGAAGGTTATGGGGAAGATCGATCGTGGACATTAATGACCAGGTATGTCATCTCGCTCTAAACTGAGGGGGAAAAAAAAAGGCATTGAAGTATGGAATTTTTTTTTGAACGGTACGAAAAAAAAAGAAAAGAAGATATTTCGTTAATTCGAGATATAATTATGAATGACCAGGTATGTCATCTCGTTCTAAACTGAGGGGGAAAAAAAGGCATTGAAGTATGGAACTATTTATTTTGAACGGTACCAAAAAAAAAGGAAGATATTTCGTTAATTCGAGGAATAATTATTTCGATCGATTAATCTCGAATAAATTGGATACAACGTTTCCTCGTAATCGTGGGAATTTTCCGGTGATTCGAGTGAAACAATGATTTTCTTAAATTGTCGGAGTATTTCTTTTTGGCAACTTTCAAAGAAACGTTTCAATGGATCAATGATATTTTTTTTTTATAAGGGTGCGGGGGCGAGGTTTATCACAGATGAAGGCATGGGTGTATAGTGTGATCGGTTATAGACAAGAGTGGTGGATAATGAAGATAGGATAAATGGATTGGGAGGGGAGAGAAAGATAGGGGGAATTGTTCTTTGGGATTTCAAGGGGAGGGAATATATATCCCTTTCTTCGAGCGGCGACGCTCTTTATACGTTTTTTTATCTTTCCCCCCGTGATATCGCCTCTCTTTTTGGTCTCTCTCTTTTACTCTCATTATCTCTCTCTCTCTCTCTTTCTCTCCCGGTCTCCCAAAAGCGGCGCGACGGGATTCTAAATCGGGCCTGAGGCCGTTTATATTTAGCCGGGGATTTATTTTCCCCGGGAGATATGAACGGGCTTCTCCATTTTTCGGCCGAGCCTTTATCGCGCCTTTCGCCTCCCGACGAGTTCACGTTTTT